GTCTAATTCGTCATGGTGCACACCTTTAGCATTCCGAAAAACTATGCAATGCAAGCGATGAGTTTGTTATTCAAAGCTAAGGGTCTTTTTTAGAGAGAATCCTACACATATATAAGTTTGTTACGATCTGTTTACACGTATTGCCTTATTTGTTTAGGTGGAGTACGTATAGCATCTGGATTTAGTTAGAGCAACTAATAAGCTCATGGTGAGTTTCTCGTTCAAAGTTATCGAGAGGTTTCTTTAAGAGAACCCCTACATCTCTGTTTGTTAAAATCTAGTTTGTTATTCAAACACTAAGGGTCCTTTTGCATGTTTGTTACGATATGTTTAGACGTATTGCCTTATTTGTTTTGGTGCGTGGATTACATATAGCATCTGCATTTAGTTAGAGCAACTAATAAGCCGGTGATGAATTTCTCATTCAAAGCTAGCAAGAGGCTTCTTTTAGAGAACCCCTACATCTCTGTTTGTTAAGGTCTAGTTAGACGTACTATTGCTTATTTCATCTTGGAGTACTCCTATATCTTTAGCATTTCAAGCAACTAAGCAAGAATGAATTTGCCATTCGAAGCTAACAAGGGAGAAACCCTGCAATGAGTTTGTTACGATGTGACTATTCTTTTGTGTATCATTAGCATTTTGAGGAAGTAAGCTAGCTATGAGTTTGCCATTCTAAGCTAAGGCTTAAGGGTCCTTAATTTTACATAAACTCTACATATATAGCAGTTTGTTACTATCTTTTAGATGTATTGTCTTATTTTTCTTTTGGTGGAGTATGCTACTTTTTGAGGCAAATGGAGTATGCTACTTTTGTTCCCAATGTAAGTCGTTTTGCTTTTTAGGTATATATCTTTTGTTATGCATCTATAAATATGTTATATCTAGATACATAGTAAAAAAATATGTATCAACAAAAAAAATTAGAATAGAGGGAGTATGATTTGCATTAAGAGCAACTAAACCGTTGGGAAACTTGTTGATTCAAGTAGTGTCAAGACTAGAGGTTTCTTCAAGAGAAGTCCAACATCAGTGTTTGTTAAAATCCAGTTAGACTTATTACTTAATTCTTTCATCTTTACCATTCCAAGCAACTAAGCCAGCAGCGATAAATTTGCCCTTTCAAGCTAATGAGGTTTTCTTAGAGAAACCTTCAGGGGGCGGAGTTAGAGCAAATTTGAAGGGGGTGCGTTCTCCCTATGGGTGCAAAGATTTTTACAATGGGAGTGCGTTTATGATATAAATTTGGTCATAAAATTGTTTTCATTTTGGCGCATGGTTGTCACTAGGGGCTAATTTGGAAGCAAGGGGAAGGCATACCCGGGGATGGAAAACCCTCCGTGAAGAACTAAATAATTATTCAAATTATTTTTCCATAAATTTTCCACCCTGAAAAAAAGTCAGAATCCCAAGGGAATTTGAGTTTCCAAATTAGCCCTAGAGGGGCTATGGAGTATTTTGGAATTGAACGTGTTTATAAAAAAAAAGTATCAATAGTAATGGCAAATGAATGTCACTACATTTACCTTGAAAAGTATTCCTGTGGTATATTATGTATTATATTATACATTTACCGTCGAAGAATGGACTATGGAGTGCAGATGGATGGACACAAGTTAGTACAACTGACCAAAATCGCATCGCACGCATACGACCGACGTCTCGGGTCCGAGTGAGAGGCAGGTAATTCCGGTAATCCGGCGCACGCAGTTATTACCGGCCGGCCGCCGGCGCGAATCCAGCCTCGCCCGCGTCCGGCGGCCAGGCACGGGATTGCCGGACGGCCTCCAGCAACAAGCAAACAAAAGAATCGCCCGGACGGGCGGAGAATATGCGGCTTAATTAATGTATTTATTTATTTCTGGCTCTCTTATTATTAGCTTTGCTTGTGAGATTAATTAGCTAGACGCCGTTCCGTTCCGACGGCGGCTTGCATTGCTTCCGGGCCCAACTCACGGGCGGGCGGGCGCGGGATCCGAGGCGGCCATCCAGGTGATGGAGCTGGAGCAGGCAGCCATGGAACTGGGAACTCGTGAGCGAGCCGAGATCACGGGAGCGGCGAGCACCGGGGGCCAGCTAACCAAGCCCGCAACCCAGCGCAGGGGAAACACCAATTCAAGTGCAGCCCACAAACTCTCTTTTTTTTCCTTGAGGAAATGTTGCGAGGCCCCATTACATGCAGCCCAAAGAAATTCACGGTGGTGATCGGTTTCCTTCGGGTTTTTCCCTTCCGTTTCCTTTTGTGTTGTCCACCTCTTGTCCCACTACCATAGCATCGTGTGTTTGGTTCGGAAAAGTTCAGAGCTATCCTAAATTTAGGACTATTTTTTTTTAAAAAAAATTGTATTTCAGCCTCTGTAAGAGCTTTGCACACAACCGTCCACCGTTATGTAGTCGAGGAGGATAGACTTGTAGCACTTTAGGGAAGGCGAAATAGTGTTGTGGCGTACACAAGATATAAAATTGCGGAAGCTAGTTCGACAGCTCAAAATAAAAATGCATGGTGTTTAGTTTGAAATGCCCGAATATTGGTTCACTTAAGATGTCCAACTGTACATTCTTACTCGAGATGATTATATACTCGGCCAGTTTTTTCAGTTAAACATTATATTTGAAATGTGGGTCCGTTCGGATAATTTATGATGGAGCAGGTACACTAGTTTATGGAGCACCGCTTACATCCTCCACCAAAATGAACTAGAGAAATCTCTAGATCCATGGAGCTGTCTATACAACAAAAATTGGTGATACGAGGACGTTTAGGAGGCGTTAATAAGGTAAAAAGAGTGGAATAGCTTCAAATTAAATAGGCTCTCAAGACAGACTCCACTTTACACTCTTAGGGTGCGTGTTGTAGGGGGTTTTCAGCTTTGGCTCCTCTAGAGACGGTGTTTTTTTGGCTTCATCGGCTTCTAGTTCATTTATGAAAGAGGGAGAGAAACAATTTATTTGCTACAATACAAAATATTCTCTAGAAGCTAGAGCTATTTTGAAAAAAAAATCTTAAACAGGGCCTTAATTTTGAAGAAGTCTAATTCTCTGTCCCTTCCAACTCCCATCATAGATTCATAGGCAGTAGGCACTACACGACACCCTTCAAGTGTTAAAAACCGAATGGAGATATTGTTATTCACGGAACATCCTGCCGCCGGCCCAATTAAACTAATTGATCTCGCAGGCTGCACAGCCTCCTGCTGGCCTGGGCCGGCCCACTGTAAATGGTTCAGAATACGCCACGTCAAACGGGAATATCCAAGTATTAAAAAGTCAACAACGAATAAAAACCACACACAAAAAACCAAAAGAAGAAAACACTTGAGTCCCACTGCCACTGCCAACGAGCGAGGCGAAGCGGCCGGCCAATCCAGCAGCATCCGCGCGCGGGGGAGGTGAGGGCCTGAGAGGAGGGCGCCATGGCGGCGGCGAAGGACGCGGCGGTGGCGCTGAGCAGCGGGCACCGGATGCCGGCGGTGGGGCTGGGCGTGTGGCGGATGGACAAGCCGGACGTCCGCGGCCTCATCCACGCCGCGCTCCGCGTCGGCTACCGCCACTTGGACTGCGCCGGTAAGCGAAATCCCCCCGGAACCCGACCGCCCACCCACCGCGAATCGCCGGCCCTGTCCGTGCTGGCCTCAGCGTACGAATCGGATGAATAGTTTTGTCGAGGCCGCCCGTGTTTCGCTCGACGCCGTAGCAGTTCGCGTCTTTCTGTCACTTCACTTGGGCGCTCTTGTCCTGGCAAGTGGCAAATCCTTGTCTCGGGCTGCCAATGATGCAGGCTTGCTTAACAGTGCCCTATCGTTGCTAATGCTGATGAGATCGATGAGCGGGATTTCTTTGGCGACGTTCGTCTGTTGTACTGTACCGATCCAAACCACTGACTGTTTGTGTGTCGAGCGCTATTCGGGTTTTTTTGGGGGGGCGGGGCGTTGTCAGACAACTAGGTACAAATACTCAGCAGATTTGTACATAGTTGTCTGAGAGACTGACTGACATTATCGATGGACGATGGTTCAGGCGCGGTTACACGGTGTGCTGTGTTGCTGATTAGATGAGCATGGTTTCTTTGCCACTCTTGGTCTGTTGTACTGTACCGATCAAATTGATGGATGCTTCTTTCGATGCCTCGTGAGTGCTTGTGTGTCCATCAATCTTCCTTAGTCTAGACAAACACTAGGTTTGTGTGCTTGTCTGAATGTTACAATCAAATTATTGAATGTTTCTTCCCTCAAAAAAAATTATTGAATGTTTCTTTCAGTGCCACTGCCACATGAGTGTCTGTGTGTCATTAGTCAATCGCTGTTCCGTTTGTCTTGATAAACACTTGATTCATAGTACGAATGATGCAGGCATGGTTAGACACCGCACTGTGCTGTCCATGACTAAGATTTCTTTGTCAATCGTGGAGTATTCTAACATGGTCCCAACTACTAGTGTCGGCACAGGAGTTTTCCTTTTCTACTTGGTGATTTACTGTCTGTGTGTTTGGTAACTTTTCTGCAGCTGACTACCAAAATGAAGCTGAAGTCGGTGATGCACTGGCAGAGGCGTTTCAGACTGGACTTGTCAAGAGGGAGGATCTGTTCATCACAACCAAGGTTATCTGAATTACAGAATGCTACCTTCTGTATTCTGGAAAACTGCCCTTTCTAAATGGATGTGACCATTAAAATTATGCCCCATGAATTGGTTGAAAGGATTGCAGCGGTTGGTTTCCCAACCATATTTAGCATTCAGTAGCTACTGAAAATGAGTCAGTCATACTTAATTCCAATTGTTACCCTGGATTTTAGCATATTTGGAATTGTTATGGTGTTATGGCCAGCATGTGGTGTTCTCGTCAGTAAACTGGGCGCCTGATTTTGACTCAACCAGGATGTCACTTGGTCTTTAATTAGCTATGTTTCTGAGTTTCCATTCTACTGCAGGTTTTTTTTTGGGGTCCAGTCTGTTCCATAATCTTCATGTGATTGAAAATTTGGCATCTGTTCTCATTGCAGCTGTGGAACTCAGATCATGGCCATGTGCTTGAAGCCTGCAAGGATAGCTTGAAGAAGCTGCAGCTAGATTATCTCGATCTCTATCTTATCCACTTCCCAGTAGCTACTAGGCATACAGGTAATTTCCTTGCCCTTTGCATAATATTTAGAAAGATTCAGTGGGTACCTCACAGAAATGTGTATTGCTGCAGGAGTTGGCACAACTTCTAGCGCCCTCGGTGATGATGGCGTGCTAGACATTGATACCACTATCTCATTGGAAACAACATGGCATGCAATGGAAGAACTTGTTTCCATGGGACTGGTGCGCAGCATTGGAATCAGGTAAACCAAACCAACATTTTTCTTTGTTTTTGTTGGCACCAGTTTGACATTTGAGATTTTTAAGTCTTGGCAAGCTTCCCTTTGTATTATGATTCATTACTTTGACAAAGTAGTAGATAAATATGACCTTACTGTAATCGTAGTTTTGCACATACAGGAGCATTTAGTTCATATGTTCCCTTAAGTTTTCCAGCACAAAGTGTAGAATGGTTTTGTTCTTCCAGATCTCTTCAGTTTCATTGCATATGGTTGCGTGCAAATTCATTACTTACTCTTGTCACCCTCCACTTTTTCTTCATTCCTTTTCTAGTGAAAAGTGCATGCTTACTTGTCTTGTAATTTTCCTTGGTCCATGCTTAATCAGAATCATGAACGTATTAATCATGTTAAGCTAAAGTTTAGGTTGTCGCCTGCATAAAAGATTTTAGTTTCTATTAACATTTTCTTATGTTCTTTCATTGATCCCCAGTTCTTTCTTTGGGGGAAATGGAAACTCTGTTAGGGTGTTGGATACTTGGATCTTGTATGTCTGTCTTCAAGGGGATCTGTAAAAATGGGTGTCGGTTGCAGACATTGAGTAGTCTTTGTCAGTCCTTTTGTACTAGGAATATTGCTGGTCTTGAAAGAGTAGTTTAGTTTCAAAATAGCCTGAATTCGAATATAATAAATCTTACACTAGAATTTTCTTGTTGCCATTTTTTACATGCTTTGAGATTTTCACTCTACTTTTTTCATGCTGGAGGAAGTCAACTTTTTTTACAATACTAACAATTAGAGTTACTGGTGCAGCAACTACGACATCTTCCTCACTAGAGATTGCTTGGCCTACGCCAAGATAAAGCCTGCAGTGAACCAAATCGAGACGCACCCCTACTTCCAGCGTGATTCTCTTGTCAAGTTCTGCCAGAAACATGGGATCTGCGTCACCGCGCATACCCCATTGGGTGGCTCCACTGCCAACACCGAGTGGTTTGGGTCTGTCTCATGCCTCGACGACCCTGTCATCAAGGTGGTTGTCATTTCAAATCTCCATTACAGCTCTAGACTATCAATCATCATCCTTGTTTAACAAATAGGAGTGCATTTTGTTTGGGTACCTTGCAATGTCATCAGTTCTGGCGCCAATGTGATCTGCTAACTTGGCATTGTGGCTACAATACAATTTGCTATGCTAAAAAAAACAATACAATTTGCAGAGCTTGGCTGAGAAGTACGGCAAGACGCCAGCGCAGCTTGTCCTCCGCTGGGGTCTGCAGCGGAACACGGTGGTGATCCCCAAGACCTCCAAGGTGGAGAGGCTGCAGGAGAACTTTGAGGTCTTCGATTTTGACATCTCTGGCGAGGACATGGAGAAGATGAAGGCCATCGACAGGAACTACCGGACTAACCAGCCTGCCAAATTCTGGGGCATCGACCTGTTTGCTTAGCTTATTTCAGCTGCATGCATCTCAGTCGCAGCCTCCCATATGTGTGGTACGGTGTTGGACATTATTCCTGAATCATTGCTCCATCTGCTGCTCCCAGGGCCCAGACAGCATCAATAATGAGGATTTCGATCCTCAGCTTCCATCACGTGTGTGACAGTGTGTGGTTGATGTTGGCGTTTGTCAACCCCACATGTTCCTTTCTCTTTCAGCTCTGCTTCATCACCACGTAGACTACGCAGCATTTGGAATTATTTACAGTTTTTACTTACATTCCGTACATATCTTTACTGGTAGGTTTAACAAATTACTAACAGCATTTTTGGTGACCGTGATGCTCCACGTTTTTCATAAGAAGCTAATTACTCATTGCTGTGGTAGATATTTAACAAAATATTACAAAACCATTGGCCAGTTGAAAAAAAAAACAAGAGGAAGGGATCCGTTCTGTGTTTTTTTTTTTTTTGGTGAATCAAGGTAGAGACGCCACTCACTCCTAAGGACAGTATGCACATACTCTACTCCTATGTGTATTTCGCTATCCATATGAGTAATTTTGAGAGACCGAGATTGAACCACTGGATCTTGAGATTCACGAAGCCATCACTGACACACTACTACAGGAATGATTTATAGAGATGGCTGGTGAGGCTTTGTAGAGGCAGCTCGGTCAGCCATCCCTACCATACCATTTTTACAAATCATACATTTGTAGGGGCGGTTCACAGACCGTCCTTATAAATCGATTTGTAGAGGCTGTAGTATCAGCCGCTCCTATAATACATATTTGTAGGGGCGGTTCTAGACTGAACCGCCTCTACAGTACATTTACAATTCAAATTCAACGAGAACATATATATATATATATATATATATATATATATATATAATTCAAATCTAATCATAACATATATAATTCAAATCTGACCACAAGCACAAGAGTATTATATAAACTACCATTACAAATCTAATTCACAATAATATATACAATCTATCATTAAAATTATCAACCAATTTAATATAAATATTAACTTAGGCAATAGAAAGAGACAACAACAGTCAAACTTATAATCCACCTGACTAAAAATTTAATAAGAATTTGAAGGCATTTTACAAACTTCAACATTTGCAGAGCAAAGTACTGTCAAGTTCTTTCATTTCCGAGAACTGTTGAGATACGGAGATAGATACTTGACGACACAGAAACAAACTGAAATCTTGCTGAATATATGTGCTTGATCTTTGTGTTGCTATCGACATGCAAGCATAACTGAACCAGAGAAAAGAGTTGTTCAAAGACAATCAAATTTGAACTTGATGAGAGAAGCTGAAGCAACCGGATAGACTACTACGTAGATGAAAATACAGTCAAACACAGATCAGACATCCTAGGCGTTTTCGGTAAGCATCCATATATATCTGCAGTCAAAGGTTCACGATTCAAAGGGATCAAGCTTCCTGGCATTATACCAACAAATCAGTTACTCATCTCACTAGTACCTTTTTTGTTGCCATTGCAAATTAAAAGAATCCAAATCTGAAAACAATCACAGAAAAGCATGCAAAGAACATGATTCATGAGGCTCCCTAAAAATTGCATGTATTCAGAAATCTTTCATACTACAGCATATTCATAGTCTTCAAAGAAGCTCATTAGAAACAGATTATATCATATATTTCTTTTTTATTACAGCCTTGCAATTTATACTGGTTTTAGCACAAACAAAATGCACTGACACTCAGCTAGGCATAAATCTTGTTTAGGGAGAAATTTAACTAACAATTCACTGGACAACAAGTTTTTTATAATAAAAAATAAAATTTGTTGCCAAAAATAAGTTTGCCTTTTATAGTAAGAACATGTGGAAGTGGAACCTGACAAATTATTCATCAGTTGACAGATTCAGTAACAAATTTACAGTAAGATATTTCCATTCACTAGACAAATTCATTATATGTACTTAATTACAGTAAATCCTATATGGACTAATTTACACCAAAAATAAATTAGAAATCCGTAAGATTAAAACATATTTCATTGGATACAATGACATCCCTGTGGCACTGTATATCATATAAAGTGGTATGAAAATCACAAATGAACACCACTTAGGTATTAATAGTGCACAGATTTAAATTTCATTTCTAAGAAAGTACCTATGTAACTTCACTGTTGTGTTGGGCTGAACTTGTGAAAACTAATGTATGATACTCCACTGCATTCATACAGTTTTCTTCTCTTATTTAGTAAACCTAGGAATACATCAGACACACTCATACTCGCAGGCACTGCTTCATAATATTATATTAAATGAAACAACAGATGAAATCTTTGTTAATTATATCTATTTAACTGATTAGATATAAATGGATCTGCTGCATGGTGATCAAAATCGAAGCCAAATCATATGGATTAGGGAGGGAGGAAGAGAGGGGAACCGACCAGCACAAAGATGGGGTTCGTGCTGCCCGAAACGACATGGAGATGACGCAAGGCAGCCGAATCCGTCGCTGTCGCCTACCTAACCTCACGCTGGTGCCGGAGGAGACGGGGGCACTGCCACTTGGGGGATGCGCCGTCGAGGAGCAAGGGAGACGGATCCGCCCGTCGTTGCCGACCTCGCCTCAACGCGCCACTGCTTGTGGCCAGGAGGGAGGGCGCTGCTTGGTGACCGGGGGCGCCGTCGTGGGTCGAGGAAGATAGATCCGCCGCCGCCGTCGCATGCCGAGGAAGGCTGATCCACCGCCACCGTTGCCGTCACGGGCCGAGGAAGGCTGATGCGCCGCCGCCGTCGACCTAGCCTCGTGCGCCATCACTTGGGGCTGGGGAGGGAACGCCGCCGATTGGGGGCCAAGGTGCGCCGCCGATTGGGGGCCAAGGTGCGCTGCCGCTTTTGTGTGAGAGAGATGCCCGCGGAGGTTGTGGCGGCTAACGCAGCCCGGGCCCAAGTTGGCTACGCGGCTCGGGTTTCACCACCCGTCGAAATTAATTTCTCTGTCGGTGATGCAGCCACCCCTACAAATGGCACAGTAGGGACAGCTGGTAATACGAGCCGCCCCTACAAATACGTCGATTTGTAGGGGCGGCTGGTATGTAGAGGCGGCTATTACCAGCCGCCCCTGCTGTGTCCATTTGTAGGGGCGGCTATTGTTTTGGAGCCCGAGCACGCTACTGTAGGGGCCGCTCCAATGCTAGCCGGCCCTAAAAAAACCCCAGTTGCTACAAACTATTTTTCACGTAGTGACATTTTGCTATCAAGAGGCAAAAAAAAAGTGACATTTTGCTATTAAGAGGCAAAAAAAACTGATCGGTTCGCCTATTGGTAATACTTTCGGTCTTGTGATACATACATACATACATATATATATATATATATATATACTGTTTTTTCTTTTCCTCTCTAATAAACAGAAAAAATGCATCGCAAATTAATATCATGTATTTATGTTTTTTTTTTGTGAAAGAAACGTCATGTGGTCCAGCTGAACCTGTTCGACCAAATTAAGGAATACCACAATACCCCCTGTTTATATTGGAAACAACAACATCCAAGGCCTTGTTTAGATTGAAAAAAATTTCAACCCGATGAATAGTAGCACTTTCGTCTTATTTGGTAAATATTGTTCAATCGTGGACCAACTAAGCTCAAAAAATTCATCTCGTGATTTTCAACTAAACTGTATAATTAGTTATTTTTTTTACCTACATTTAATGCTTCATACAAACAGCTAAAAATTGATGTGACGGAGAGAGAGTGAAAAAACTTGGAATTTTGAGTGTATCTAAACAAGGCCCAATTCTCTCTTACGATTACAACAAACGGTCTTTTTCAGAGCATTTTTGTCATTACTTGCCTAGGGCCCGGATCTGACAGCATCACATAATATACATATTATAATATAGGATTAAGTTCACTTTTGACCTCTCAATTATTATATTAGTCTAATTTTGATCCTTAATTACCCGTCTAATGCTAGTACCCCACTTGTCAAAACCGTTCACTTTTAACACCTGGGCACGGGTGAGGTTGTTTTGTCCAACCGGGAGCGGTTTTGTACGATGTGGGGCCCACGCGTCATCGACTCAACCGAACTGCACCGGCGTCGCCGTACGGTCTGCTCAAGCGTGCCTGCCTGCGCTCGCACCCGGCGCCCGGTCGGCGTCGTCTCACGGCGCGCCGCAGCACGCATTCCAGTGCCGCGAGCTCGAGCTATGCTTCAATGTCGCGCTCAACCGCCTGCCCGCTTCCGGCCCGCACTCGCCGCCCTCCTCGACGGCGCCGTTCACGTCGCCGCTTATCCAGCCCAGCCCCACACTCTCCAACGCGCTCGTCGCCGCCCTCAAGCGCGAGCAGTGCAACCAGCGCCGCGGGTGCGTTGAGCTCCAGCAGCCGCCGCCACCAGCAAATGCGCCGCCGCCGCCGCAGCAGCCACTACTCGCCATCAAGGTGGAGCTGGAGCAGCTGGTCATGTCCATCCTCGACGACCCCAGCGTGAGCCGCGTCATGCGGGAAGCCGGCTTCTCCAGCGCTACAGTCAAGAGCAACCTCGAGGAGGAGAGCGCGCTCATGCCGCCACAGTCCCCGCCGCCGCCACCCATCCCTCCCCACTTCTTCATCGACCCCAGCATTTCCTCTGGCAGCAAAGGTGGTGACCGCTTCGGGCTGTGGCCGGTGCAGTTCTTGGCCGCGCCGGGCCCGAGCGCATGCAACGACGACGTCCGCGCGGTCCTGGAAGTGATGGTCCGGAAGCAGGGGCGGCGAAGCAACCCCGTTGTGGTTGGCGACTCGGTGTCCATGGCGGAGGCCGCATCCGCCCCGGTTCGCCGCGGCCGCGCCGTTGCATGCGGAGCTCGCGCACGGTCGTCACCAGGGCCGCCCACGGAGCTCGCCCATCCCTGCCGCCGTCGGAGCTCGAAGCCGCCGAGCACTTCACGCCACGCTCGCCGAAGCCACGCCGTCGGAGCTGCTTCCTGACCTCGCCGCTGGCGGCCACCGCACTGGAGCTGAGCATCGCCGGAGCCGCCCGCGCCTTAACTTGCCGCAACGGCCGCACGGACAAGAAGACCGAAGACGACGACGCCAGCAGCTTCCCTTCCCGCGCGCGCCCGACCCTGCGGCCTCGACCGCTGGACGCCTTCGAGCTACGGCTGCGGCCGCTGCACGCCTGCCTCCCCATGCGCGCCCGCTGGACGACATGGTGCTCCGGCTGTGGCCGCTGGACGCCTGCCACGCCGTGCGCGGCCGCTCAACGCCGTGGAGGTCCAGCGCCCACCTCCCGGCGCGGCCGCCGCGGACTCGCGCGGACCCCGGCCGGAGCTCGCGCGGACGCCGCGGATAGGGCCGCCTCGCTCGCACGGCCGGAGCTCGCCCATCTCGACTCCTTCTCCGTCTCCGTCTCCGTCTCCTCTGCGCTTCGTCGTCCTCCTCGGGTGCTCCTACGCCGCCGGCAACGGATCCGGCGAGGGTGGTGAGGATCTTGAGCTGCGCATCGCGGAGGATGAGCGGGTCGCGGGACCGCACAGCCTGGAGTGGAGTCGCTGCCGGAGTCCCCTCCGCACCGGTGCTGAGGAGCACCGCCGCGCTCGCCTCTGCCCGCCGGGGATTGCCGCCGCCTGACACACGCTTTCGCCTGTTCAGCTCGCACCGACGCCAAGCACCGCCGGAGCCGAAGCCATCAGCGACACCGCCCTGCGCCTCCCCCTCGCCAACGCGTAGCCGCCGATCATCTCCTTCCCTCCGCTCTCCATCTCTCTCTGTCTTCCCTTCTCTCCCGTTGCGCCATCGGCAGGCGCTCTCTCTCCGCCTCGCCCTGCTCACTCTCACTCCCTCTCCCTTTTCCTCTCTCTCCTTCCCTCTCTCCCTCTCTCTCTATCGCTCCTCTCTGTTTCTTCCTCGTCGAGCACCTCCGGCCGGCGGCGCTTCGAAGAGGCGGAGGCGGTGGAGGGGGTCGGGGAGGCCAGGCGAGGGGTGGAGGGCGCGGGTGTCGGAGATGGCGAGAGGCGGCGCCCACGAAGATGACGACGGTCGGCGCATCGATGGAGAGCCTGCGCTCGGGGAGCAGGCCGCAGTGGCCGGCGGAGGAGGTGCGGCCTCTGCGGCGTAAATCGGCTGCGAGCGCGGCTATCCGTGCGTGCGTGGCGGTCAAAGGCAGTGTTGCGGGTCAAAACCAGGTACACGTCGGCATCAAACAGCCACAACCGTGTCTAGATGTCAAAAGTGAACGGTTTTCAAACTTGAGGTTCCTGAATCAGACGGTTTCATAGTTGAGAGTCAAAATTAAACCAACATGATAGTTGGGAGTGAAAAGTGGACTTAATCCTATAATATATCAATAATGAGCATTATTATTGTCCATTACGCGTGTTATCACCACTTCTTTTTTCCCTCTCTTTTTCAGGTTGGCCTCACCATATCTAGGTTTACGGTCGACTGTCTTAGTCTCTTACTTTTCTTTGAGTGCTATGACAGTATGATGTAGTGTAGATCGATGGAGAACTTGTACATGTGGACCAAAGAAGAAGAAGATCGAGAGCCAAAAGGCCCCATGGATGTCATCTAGGAGTATATGCTGAAAGCAACGGCCTATAGCTAGCTAAAGGTTGCTAGTAGCTGCTACAAACAGTGTAATAGACACGTATACAGGTATATAATATAGGCGTGGAAGCATTATTATTATTATATTTGAGAAATTCAATCCTGTGGTATATATGTAGATTCCTAATAAATAAATATTTTTCACAATTAAAATAAATGGGGATTGGTATGTAGGCGGTCGTAGTCATTCTTGGGCAGCATGCATGCCAGCATGCAGCCTGTTCGGGCGTATCGTATCATGGATTATTTACCGTTGGCTGGTTTGATGTGAGAAAAAATACTATTCTCAACTGAAAATTTACGATCGTTTACGAGCAAACTAACACGAGCCTGCGCGCCGCTGCATGCATGTCGAGGAAAAGTCAGCAGGTACGTACTATATTATATAGCTACTCTCTAGAGAAGCCTCAATATATACACACCGGCCGGAGTAAGAGAAAGGAGGAGTGCGTACAAGTGTGAGACGACAATGGCGGCGAAGGACGTGGCGCCGGACGTGAACGGGCACAGCCGCAGGGCGGTGCCGTCGGTGACGCTGAGCAGTGGGCACCGGGTGCCGGCGGTCGGACTGGGCGTGTGGCGGATGGAGAAGAACGACGTCCGCGGCCTCATCCACACGCCGCCATCCGCAACGGCTACCGCCACTTGGGCTGCGCCGGTATGCATGCATGACTACTTATATACTCAGTACGTAGCAGCTAGGAGCTTCACGTCTCACATGCACACAGCACACACATCGTCGTGCGTGCATGCAGCACGAACCACTTGGTGTACATATAAGTACAGGTCTGAATAAGCTAATAAGGTGCATGCAACGTGTTTACGAATTACGATCGAGATTTTCATCTAACATCCTGCTGAGTTAGTACTCAAATCAAATGGTTGTGGGTACAACGATACTTTCAGATAAAACACATCCATGGCGGATCGGTATACTCCCTTCGTCTCAAAAACAGAACAATTCTAGGTCTAAAACTAGTCAAATTAAACTTTCAAAGTTTGACCTATTCTATAGCAAAAAAAATATCAACATTTATGCCTCTGATCTAAATACATTTACTATAAAAATATATTTCATGATCAATCTAATAATGATACTTATTTGATACAATTCTGAATCCGCTTTGTCTAGCTACGAGAATAAGGAAGCTATAGAACGCTAGCGGCATGCTTAAGCTTAAGACATACAAGTCGAACTCGAAGTGGTGTTTCTAGTGGCAAATGGACGAGTAAAACGTAAGAAAACTGCCCTTGGGAGGGGAACACAACTGAAAACGGTCGCTAATACCCCGTAGGCCGAGGAACAAATATACAAAAATGTTAGAACTTGTTCGCATAAAGGTGGTTGAAGTTAAAATTATTTGACTTCTCAAAGAATGAGAAATACATATATTTTTTTAATAGAGGGAGTACGTATGTATGAAAGCCATTGACTCGAGGATGAGACAATTGCCAAAGATCCCATTGAGTTAGAGCTCTAGTGTTCAAGGCTGGATCTAGGAACAACTACTAAGAGAGGCTTTTCTCTCATAGTCCTCTACCCCTGTAGCCTCCTCATTCAACCTTCCACATGAATGGCATCTCAGCTCGCCATATGCGTGGATATTCCTGAATGATTTTCCACATGAATGATTGATAGCATCAATAACGAGGATTTCCCAATCTCCCATCACGCGTGTGATGGTGTGAGGGAGGTGGATAGATGTTAGTGTTTGTTATCCCCACATGTTCCTTTCTCTTTCGCTTCAGCTTCATCACCATGTAGACTACAAGATTCGCAATGTTTGCTGACGATAAATCATTCCAGTGGGGAAAAAAAAGTTCCATTAAATTATACTGTTTTTTTTTTCTTGAGAAAGTAGAGAGAAATACTGCTAGAAGGGAGTAAGGGACACAGGATGGCATTTCAGCCCAGTGGCCCCCATATCCCTCAAGCAGCTCGCCAACTTCCAGAAGGACCTAGGCCCAGAAACCCACGCTCAGCGGCCCAATACTCAGAGGCCAGATCCCTTCTCCACGGGCCACGGCGCCGCGGCGCTTCACCCAGCGAGCGCGGGCGGCCACGGGCCACGGCGGCGGACGGCGTGCGGCGTGCGGCCTCCGCGAGCTGCGGCCTTGCCGGCCGGCCGACCTGCGCCCCACGAGCTGGCTGCGCAGGCAGAGCGCCGGCGGCCACCCTACCCTCACTGTTCCTCCGCACGCCGCCCTTTGCACCCAACTGTTCCGCCGATTGGGCTTCCTTCCTGCCTTCCTTTCTGGTGGGATCGACTAGAAAATTGCAGGTTCCAAGGAATCCCCCGTCTCTCCGTGCTGTACTATTCAACGTGATGTGATGAACGTCGTGTCTTCTGTTTCGTGGTCTGCAGCAAAATACGGAAACGAAGCTGAGGTTGGTGACGCGCTTGCAGAGGCATTCCAGACCGGGCTTGTCAAGAGGGAGGACCTCTTCATCACAACCAAGGTTAACTTATCCTCCACATCACAGAATGCAATGCTACTCCCTCCATCCCAAATTATAAGTCATTTCAAGAATATTGGAGAGTCAAAGCATCTCAAGTTTGAACAAAATTATAGAAAGAATTACAAAGATTTATGACATCTAATAGATATTACTATGAAAATATAATTAATGAAAAACCTAATGATACTCAGTTGGTATCATAAATGTTATTATCTTCTCTCCAAGATTCTTGGAATGAATAATTTGGGATGGACGGAGTATTATACTACTGCTAGTGTTTTTTTCCTTACTCTACTACTGGAAAATTATACATAGCATTGGACTCTTTTTGTGCATTGAACTGGGTTAAAAGAGGCTTTACCTAGTACCCAAGGATGAATGATTGAACTTTACAGTCTGTTCAGTCATTATTAGACTGTCTGACATACAAAATACCAATGCTGGCTTGTACCAAACCATGATAGACTTTCATCTTGACATTGGGAATCCCGATCGATTCCAACTCAACCAATGTTAAACCCTGCTCTTAATGTAATCAGCTCATGTGCCTTTCTTTAAAAGGAGAACAAAAAAACTTCCACTATCATGAGATTGATGGGCATGTGTTTATTATGATTGTAGCTATGGAACTCAGACCATGGGCATGTGGTTGAAGCCTGCAAGGATAGCTTGAAGAAGCTGCAACTAGATTATCTTGACCTCTACCTCGTTCACTTCCCAGTGGCTACTCCGCACACCGGTAACTCCTTTTGCCTTTTATATTTCCTATAAATTACATGGAGCAAGAACATTTCGTTGGGTTTCTCATGGAATCCTTTTGCACTATATATATATCTGCAGGAGTTGGCGCAACTGTGAGCGTTATTGGTGAAGATGGTTTGTTAGACATTGATACCACTATCTCGCTTGAGGCAACATGGCATGCAATGGAAGACCTTGTTTCTATGGGACTGGTTCGCAGCATCGGAATCAGGTGAGGAGTGGACCAATGCCACCGGCTTCTTTGTTTTGTTCACTTCTGGAACTTGGGGATAATTTGACCTTGGTGTGTTTATATTAACCTGTCTTGTATATCATGTGCTCCGTTAGGCCGTTGATGTCAATGACTCGGTATAATCTTATTATAATTTTCTGGTGACAGTTATTGCTTTACTACCTATGTATATGCTGGAAATCATTTTGACTTAGGAGTAAGTTACTTGAGATGATTCAGGTTCAGAACAACCAGAAGGACTGCATTGCATCTTGCACAGGAAGTCACCTTTAGAAGATTTAACCACTATGGTTGTTTTGTGCAGCAACTACGGCATCTTACTCACCAGAGACTGCTTGGCCTATGCCAGGATAAAGCCCGCCGTGAACCAGATAGAGCTGCACCCCTACTTCCAGCGTGATTCCCTCGTCAAGTTCTGCCAGAAGCACGGCATCTGTGTCACCGCTCACACACCCTTGGGTGTTCGGCTCGCTCTCATGCCTCGACAACCCTGTCATCAAGGTGGTTGTCGTTCCAAATCGATCCTCATTCATCAATTTTAAATCGCACTGTCATCAAAGGTTTCTGCTAGTACATTTGATCATGAACATTCAGCTTGAGTACATATCTTGCACAGCGCAACCCTGCATTTGTGATGGCGATTTGCATTCTTGCTCAAACCAAATGGCTGAGCTGCGACTGCGAATAATCCATGGCAGGAGCTGTCGGAGAAGTACGGCAAGACCCCCGCGCAGCTGGTCCTCCGGTGGGGTCTGCAGAGGAACGCGGCGGTGATCCCCAAGACGTCCAAGGTGGAGAGGCTGCAGGAGAACCTGGAGGTCCGGGACTTCGACATCTCGGAGGAGGACATGGAGGAGATGAAGGCCATCGACCGGAACCACCGCATCAACCAGCCGGCAAGTTCTGGGGCGTCGACATCTATGCTTAGCTAGCTTGCTACCTGGTTGCTTGCAGTCTCGTCTCATGATTATATTCCCCAGTGTGTTCGTTTTCTGAATGCTATCAGACAACATCGATTATATGGGATTTTGTACTTCTACATGTGAGCTCATGTGCTGCGTTTTTGCTGGACATTTAAATAGCTGGTATAAAATACATATGCTTAATTTGGTTGTAATTTGTGTTTGGCACTTCAGTTGTTCTCATGTTGCTTGTGGAAAATTAGTTGGATGCTCGTTATCTAGTTGAGATATAGAGATATATATGGTGTGGAAACAAACTTTAACTTCATGAAACTCGTAAAACTGATATGAAATGACAACATTCCACACAAACTTAATTTCCAAAAAGTAAATATTAAGTAAAGAAATACTCGGTACCATCAGCTGCACCAGGATTTTTTTGATAATACAGATCATGTTTATATCATCAAAAGGGTCTCATTTAGGAAAGAAAGTTCATGGCGCTCTATTGATAATAGCGCATGTTTTATATCATCTTGGGTGCATGTTTTATATCATCTTGGGCATCAACATCGCCTTGAACGGTCAATGCTCCAAGCATGCTGGAAACGGCCCCCCTGAAAATTCCAAATAGCCTGTCAGCACCACAGAACAGTAGCTATGATTTGGAGATGCTGAACCATTACTGTAACAGTAACAGACGTGGTAAGGATAAGTAATCTATGGAAACAAGTAAGACCATGCTGAAGACCAGAGAGGCCAAAACTCTGTTAAGTCATATGCAGAGTTCCACGCAAATCATTTAGAGCTTAGTACACTATGGGAAAAGAAACTGATATTGCTGTGCAGGTAGTTGTACACTTATACTAATCCACTATACACGGAGCTTCTTTGGCTCTGATATAATCTAGTGGTTCAAAAAAGAAAAGAAAAAACAAAGATGAAATCTCAAGAAAATATATGGTAACATTTGGACATTTAGTTTATGAAATTTCTGAAATTGTTTGAAGATTTTCAAAATATAATCCCAAGTTGTTTTTGGGCATGTGTAACAGTAGCCATTTGGATGTTTAAGATATCATTAGATGATATGTGAAATGTGAATTTAAATCATTTACTTTTGAATGTTTATACCCATTATAAGTTATAACTACTATTTTCTAAACTATACTACATAATTTGTGGCATTCAGCATTTAAGATGGCATAGGCGTCCTGTTGCTTGCGCTAGATCTAGATTTGTGAAAACTTGTCAGCCTCTCATACACAGTACACAGTACACAATACAACATAGTAAAACCAAATCATACTAACAGAGCACATTGGTGTCCCCAGTGTTCATACCTAGTCTTTCATCTAGAAAGAACGTCTTCCCTGGAGCCTGTCAACAATCTCCACTATGGAAGGCCTCCGGTACTGATCAACCTCCACAAACCTTAACCCAATATATCAATGCATGCCTGTACTTCCATGAGGTCATCTGGACATAGTGTTGGGTACTTGGAAATGACGTTGCATCCAATTCTGACATACCTGCAGAATTGAATTATGGTCCTTAATGGTAATTTATAAACTGAATGTAAGCTTCTAAGTAGATTTTTCAACCTTCCAATCATAATATAAAATCGTCTTACATTATCTAGAAGTTTGCCTTCAGGTCTGTCTGTACCACCAAGATAGATCTTCTCTCCAGTCGTGATGATGATAATTAGAATGCCTAAGCTATATATGTCTGACTTGGTGGAGATTTCATCTCTGTATAGATATTCCGGAGCCTTATCCCTGGAACAGTTTTAGGGGATTCAAATGCAATATATTCTGCGAATAAAAAAGAATACTCATATTATGCAGCTTATTTCATCTTACTTTACTCCCACAACATTTATTGTATTAGTCCGGCTCTGTTCATCACCAAATTGTCTCGAGAAACTAAAATCACAAATCTTTGGCACCCAATTATCGTCCAACAATATGGCGGTGGGATGAATACACATCTGAATAATGGGCACATCCCCCTATGAAGGAAGTGTAGTCCATTGCAGATCCCCTCGATTACTTTGAAGTGTATCCCCCAGTCAATTGCATTAGTTTCAGCTGTAGAGGTGAAAACATCGAACCATGTTAGTGTTATAAGACAAAGGTATCTAAAAATACGTAATTTCTTATGATATTTTCCAAAAATATGTAATTTCTTATGATATTTTTTTCAAGAAAGATAGAGTACACACAGTTACACATGCACACCGCCACGCGTTGGCACATCTTGGATCAGCAAAGACGTCATAGATGCCTAGCACTAAATAACTGAATAAATAGTTGAAAATACGAACAGTTGTATTGAGTCTGATACTAGAACACGGGTGAATAACAAGGAGCTAAATGTTTGTTAGAAAGAAGGGAACTATGTAGGAACAGGTCGTTTAGTTCGCTTGGTGACATCTGAAGATTTGGTTTTAGCTTCTACAGAGAGGCAACGAGTACTAAATCAATAATCTGCACACAAGTTGTGTTTGCCTAAAGACTCCTCACCCTTTGAAGTTTTGGAAAGCCTCAAGGTTCAGCTCTCAGCTCATTGTGGAGCTTATCATTTTATTTTATTATTATGTTGGAGCATTTGGTCGGTCAGAAACAACTTCATCTTCAAAGGAGAAGCACTCACTCGCTGCAACTTTATCTTCAAGTCCGTGTTTGCTCTAGTTATTCTTAGGGCAAAAAAAAACGTTTTTTGCCTCTGATTTCTTCATGGCTAGAGAATCTTCTGTAATCTTGCTTATTTTCTCTGTTTTTTTTCTTAACCTTTGTTTTGCACTTCTGTAACCTGTTTGTACAATAATATTGTGACTAGTGTTCGAACAAGTGATGGAGACAAGGATGACTTCCCGATTAGAATATGACTACATCAAGGGTCAACTTTGAGTCTTTATCTGTTTGCCTTAGTGATGGATGATGTCACAAGGGACATACAAGAGGACATCTCTTGGTGTATGCTTTTCGCGGACTATGTAGTGCTAGTTGATGAAAGCCGGACAGGAGTGAATCAGAAACTGGAGTTATGGCGGGAGACTTTGGAGTCCAAAGGTTTTAGACTCAGTAGAACTAAAACTGAGTATATGAGATGTGACTTCGGCACTTCTACTCGGGAGGAGGAAAATATTAGTTTGGAAGGTCAAGTAGTGCATAGGAAGAATACCTTTCGATATTTAGGATCAATGCTACAGAGAGAGACGGGGATATTGATGAACATGTTAGACATAGAATCAAAGTAGGGTGGATGAAGTGACGCCAAGCACTTGGTGCCCTATGTGACAAAAGGGTACCACAGAAGCTAAAAGATAAGTTTTATAGGACGACGATTAAACCTGCTATGCTGTATGGTGTAGAATGTTGGCCTACGAAAAGACGACATGTTCAACAGATAAGTGTTGCATAAATACGTATGTTGCGTTAGATTTGCGGTCATACAAGAAGAGATCGAGTTCGGAACGATGATATACGTGATAGATTAGGGGTAGCACCAATTGAAGAAAAGCTTGTCTAACACCGGTTGAGATAGTTTGGACATGTCCAACGGAGACCTCCAGAGGCATCGGTGCGTAGTGGAATCCTAAGCCCGGATAGTATCGTGAAGAGAGGCAGAGGAAGACCGACGTTAACTTGGATAGAGGCAATAAAAGGAGATTTAAAAGGATGAAATATACCCAAAGACTTAGCCTTAGATAGGAGTGCTTGAAAAACAGCTATTCACGTGTCTGAACCTTGATTGCTTCTAGTGGGTTTCAACTCTAGCCTATCTTTGAGACTTAGAGGCTTTGTTGTTGTGGTAGGGGCCTCGTCTCTCATGTTCCCTCAGTAAAAAAAATCTAAACAAATCATACAGGCTACTGGCCGAGATTTCATTTTTTAAAAAAAAGGCCGAGATTGCAGATCATGCCGGGAGGGGGTTGAAATTGCCTCTGTTGATTTAAAAACGTTGAAAAGCTGCATAGCAGACTGGAGCAGGGCGAATCTAGCAGGTAGACAGGAGACTAGGGGTGCAAAAGGGAGGTCACACAAGTTTAATTGCTCCGGATTTGGAAGGAATTAAGGACAGAAGTGTGGTAACTGGTGAGCAATTGCACGGGCACAATTTTCTGGTAGCATCTCCAGACTTGTCTGATAAGCCACAACTGAAAGCACTGTTGGCTAATTTGTTGTGAAAAAAAAATACTGCTTGTTGCTGAAAAAGTACGACTTATAAGCCAAACGAACAGAGCGTTAAGCAGCGGGATCAAAGTCACTAACCTAGAGATGGAAGTCCACCAGATGGTCGCGTCGCGTGCGTTGAAGCGATATGATTGCTGTGAGGCGAGAGGGTTGATGAAGAAGACGAGGGGTACCACACCACATGCAATCAGATGCATAATTTTAACTACGAACAGACGTGATTTAAAAAAAAGGGGCTCTTGTGTTCTTGCCTTTATTTTGATGTGCAATTGTGATTTTGCTCTCGTTTTTTTAACTTTGTGATTTTATCTTAAGTGTTCACAAGTTAACATAATTTTGCCCCTGGTCAACGGAAAAAACAGGAGCAAATTTCACGTTGATCAGAGGCAAAATCGCGTTGACTTGTGAACAGTTAAGGGCAAAATCACAAAGTTAGAAAAACGAGGGCAAAATCACAATTGCACATATGTGTAAGGGGCAAGAACACCATTTTCCTAAAAAAAAAAAGTAAAATTGGAAGTCAAACTGACATTTTGTTTATGATAACTTAACTAATGTGCGTGCATGTGCACACCGCTTATGGAACAGCAATTTCATACTAATCGGAATGGAAAGAATATTAATTTCATTGGAGTAACTTGAAACTGTAAAAATAATCAGGAAGGAAGACAATATACTCCTATGTGTATGCCTAATCACCAAATGAATGAAATTGTTGTATAAATTCAAGACCAGTAGTTAGAAATTTTATTCGTTGGATAACTGAGCATAGATATATGTGGTGAATTCGTAACAAACACCCACGGCTGTTCCATATGAACAGCCCTTTTTTTTCTGAACCATGGAACCTGCCTCTTTGCCAACAAGCTGTTGTTTCTCTTTCGATAGAACATGCTTGCTCGCAGGCAAAGCTAGAGAGACAGGTGACATGAACCAAAAGTGTTCAAACTGAAATTGCACTATCCCTAGGATTAGTTCAAGGTGCCGCCAACTTTTAGGCCTTTCCTTCATCGGTGTCCAGCTTGATCAGTGCGCCAGACGTCCCTAGGATGAATCTGCAGGAAGCCAGTGGCAATACCCTCCACAATGTCCTTGGTGAGGTGGGGGGCTGGGGAGTTTGGAGCTGGGACCGTTGCTAGTGGCTTTGGGTTGAAGACCTCATCTGCATTTGGCTTGTCCTTGAAACCTTCAGTCTACCCTGCAACTCTCTTGCTGCGCCTTAGATACTGCTCATCAAGGGGCTCTTCCAGCTTCTCGGCCCTCCTCTTGCGTGCTGTGGCCTGAGAGGGGTCTGTGATCTTGGTGGTCAGACTTGAAAGGGCAGAGAGCAATTCGTTGGTTAGGCTTGCCTGGCCCAACTCCAACTTGAATGCTTCAATATGTTGCTTCTTGCACTTAGCATCAAGATCGCGGGCCTTCTCATCACCAATGGTCATGAACATTGCCATGATTAAGTCCCCCGAGCTGTGTGTTTCGGTGTACGCTTTGACTTCTTTGGCCAGGTGAGGATACAATTTTGATAGTACACTGAAGTCCCTAGATGTTGGCTCAACCCGCTCATCTTCATCAGCTTGGCCCCAGAGGATTTCAGATAGCTTAAACAGCTGACGACTAAGGTCATCGGATGGGCAGCCTTGTAAAAGGAACCTGCAGTACCGCCTCCTAAGCTTCCGGATCTTATCAGTGAGCTTGTCCTCGGTGGCATCAATTTTGTCAAAGGTGAGATTGGCCAAAAGGTGCGATGAGTCAGGCAAAGCACCGTTATGGGACTGGGCGTGCACGACCAAAGCATTGAGAATCTTGAGCTCATCATCATAGGACCATGATCGCTCAACTGCTGGCTTCTTCTCTGTCTCAGAACTGCGTGGCTTGTGCATGTCCTTGTCCTTGTCATGTGGGGGTGAAGTGTCATCGGCATGATCTTGCTCTGTGATCTTCTTCTCCTGCTGCTCCTCTTCAAGGGCTCTGTGCTCGTCCTGTGGCGGTAAGATGTTGCTCTGCTCTTGCTCTGCCATCTCCCTGCCATCGTGCTCGTCTTCTTGGGCGATGTCAGGCGAGGAGGGCGGCGACGTCGGCTTGGTCAATGCCTTTCTAAGCTGCTGTAGGGCCGAAGCGGCGACAGTCTCATCAGATCGCGCAGCACACTTCTCTGGGCGCTCTTCTCCCTGCTGCGGCGGTGGGCCCCGCTCCGGAGTCACGGCCCTCTTGTTGTGGCCGGCGCCGGCGGTGTCGTCGGGCAGCGGGTCCCTCGCCGGTGACGCATCACCAGAGTCCCCCGCCTCATCCTCCTCCTGCGACGCCGGAGGGGATTTCTTGACATCCTTCGAGGTCGTCTTGGTCTTCCCACCGCGCGGCGCGCTCCTCGCCGGAGAGGGTTGCTCCTGCTTCAGCGGCATCTCCTTGGGCTCGGCGGACATGGCGGTCTCACCGGACTTGCCGCTCTCCTCCACCTCCTCGTCGGAACCCTCAATGCCACCGTTGCGGCCCAACTCCTTGGAATCGTTGGATCTTGGCCGGCCGGCGCGGCGCTTGGCAGCCATGGAGGCCCGATCGATGGCGGAGGGAATGGGGATTTGGGATTTTTTGGCTGGGGTTTGGACGGTGACGCACGAGGCTGGCGATAGAGTGAGGTGTTCGATAGAAGTGGAGGAACGCAGGCGCCTGGCCGGGTGGCGGCGTGAGATGGGGGTGGCCGGGTGGATGAATGGAACCCTAAGAAAGTAGATTATACCGGAATGTCGTCGCAGTTGGACCTAAGTCGTCTGACGAATAAGGGCATGTTTGGTTCTTTCCCACCTGCTGAAATTTCTGTCATATCGAATGTTTAGACACATGTATGGAGTATTAAATATAGATTAATTATGAAGCTAATTGCACAACTTGCGACTAATTTGCGAGACGAATCTTTTAAGTCTAATTAGTCCATGATTTGATAACGTGATGCTACAGTAAACATGTGCTAATGATAGATTACTTAGTCTTAAAAATTTCGTCTCGGAAATTAGCCTCCATCTATGTAATTTGTTTTGTAATTAATTTATATTTAATGCTCTTTATTATCCTCTAAACATTTGATGTGACATAAATTTTAGGAGCGACTAAAGAACCAAACACCCCCTAAGTATAACGGTACAAACCAATAATAATGATATTTCTCTAAACTTTAAAATTATAATGGTACGAATAAAAAAATCTAAAATATTTCATCAGAGTAGGTGGAACCTGTGACAGAACCGTCCAATTTATACAAGATCAAGTACGGTTGTCCCCGCTAACACGTTGACACACCCATACTTTCACTCATATAAACCCGGTAATCCGCCGAGTGTCCCAAAGACCTCGGTAAATCAACATCACAACCAAGATCGCGTGATTAAGCAAATACACATCACATACATCGGGTTGCAGCGGAAATAATATTACAAAGGAGTTAACAAATAATAGTACAAGTTTGGGTTTCAAAACCGCTTAGTGAAAACAACATAGCTTTCAAATGATTACATTAATATAAGTTCCAAATATATTGCTAGCATAGTGACATCATCCGATAAAAGCATATAGATGAGAAGTAAGTATAGAATCACCGAGCCCACTTGGGTGGTTAGCCACCATCATCATCAAATGTGTCGAGAACATCACCGCAACAAGGTGGGATAAACCCCAGTACTGAATGTACTCACCGGACTTACCCGCGGAAACCAAAACAAATGACACCAAGGATCATGCAAGGTTTTCTTTAGTGGGCTATTTGACTGTAAAAGCATAAGCTATCATAAAGAAACCATTTTAAATACTTTGCACCATCTTTATTATGACCTATCCATCTAGGTAAGCACACATACTATAGCAATCACTTGATTAACCAATAACATCCGATTACCAATTTAGATTTAGCATATCCCATACCATCCAGATAACCATCATTGTTCCATAATAATTACTACGATGCAAGAACTCGAGTCAAGTGCTCACTATCCGGGAGCGATGGCGATTGAATCGATTCCTAACCCGACTAGTGATTGATTCCTTACACAAACCTCACTCACCCGCTAAAGTGAGATATTGATCACCGAGTCAACTTTTTCGTATCTCGAGTTTGCCAGAACCACATGTACCGGGGCCGTAACCGAGCGCACTTTGGTCTTATCATCCGCCTCGTGTCCTACCACACTTCCCACGACAAGGCTGCATGGCAATCTACTCGGCTTCGAAAATCTCCCGGCTTGGCGGTCGGAAGGTACTTTATCCGGTCGGCACTAAATGTAAGGCATGCATTCAACATGACTCGAGGGCCAACAACGGTCGGTCCTTAATCGAGACGGAAACTAACAAAGACCCCGTAGACCCGTGCCGGTTGCCTCCAACTTTTTCCGTCCGGTCTCCAATTATCCATCACACATGGTTAATTCCAGGATATCATTCTTTTCATAGCTAAATTCTTCCGGTAACCACCTATAATGTAGGTGACCGGATATCTCCGATCGCTACTGGTCTAAGCAAGGCTAAGCAGTTATTCGATCATGACCTAACAGGGTAAAAAGGTAATAAGGTAGGCAAGGATAGTAATAAATGCATCAACGGTTTCAATCAACTCCTACAACTTAATGCAACAATATATAACTCGTATATAGAAGGAATTGCTTTTATAAATTAGGAGAAAGGGGCTTGCTCAGGATCCGCCACAAGTCGATTCGGTTAGCTTGCACCGTCCCGGTGACATCATGGGTCCTAACACTTGCTTAGTCCTTCCATCTTCGGGATAGATCCTCCATACACCGTCTTTGGGTTCGGCTCCAACATCACGTCCTTCACGTGGTTCATCTAGCGCACCTAGATGAGATGCAATATGCAAGTGTATGAATATGAAGAATAGTACCATGAGATGCATCACAAAATAGCAAGCAAGGACAAGCATAGTTTACAATCACACTTAAGTACTTTGCGATGCTTAACTTAACCATCACACAATCTATCATGCTAAGACGGCAAAGAAGACGACAACACCAAGCATGACACAAGTTTCCCAAGATCTCAGGTGCTCTAACTCAGTCATCACTCAAGGCATAAGTCACACTTAACAATATACAAGCAAACACTATAATTGGAATCGCCCAATTTCTGGACATGCAAACAACAACAGCTACAAGATTTAGCTATAACTGAGTTACACAAATCCAAATGACTTGCAAGAAGACATTATGGAAATCTTATGAAATTGTCTACAATTCATATTTAAACCTATCAGCATGATTCCAAAGTTAACCAGGTTAAACAGGCACATTTATCAAAGCTGGTCCAGCAATTCTAGAAAGCTACAATTTCTGAAGACCAACTTAGAACAGTCATAACTCACAAACTACTTGGCCACATGCCATGAAAATTTAACACAAGCTAGTTAGGTGAGTTATCTACAACTTTCTTATTATCATCTTAAGATGATTCTACAGTTAGAAGGGTCAATTAATCCAATAATTGCATCGCTATCCAAAACATAGACAGAAACTGACATGCCACTTTAAACAACTATAAATGGAGTTATACAGGTCCAATAAATGTGGTTCTAGACTTTTTAGAAAGCTTGTCAAATTCTAAACAACTTTGTTGTAAACACCTAAAGCAAATTCTACTATTAAGAAGGCCCCACAATACCAACAAGGTAACCTGTCAGAGTTTGGGCAGAAACAGCCACTGATATTTAAGTAAGTATAACTCAAGATCTACTTAACCAAAAATCATGATATTTAGCTTTTTGAAAAGCTTAATAAAAGTACTACAACTCATGTATTATCACAAAGTCATGATTCATAACCTAACTAGGCCAATTAATTTAATCTTGCAGGCCTATTCAGAATAAGGGTAAGACAATACAGACAATTTGTTATTTTTATAGATCTTAAACTATCAAGCCTAAAATACTGAAATTTTTACCAGACATCACTAATCACATCAGTAACACTCCATAAAAATTTCACTTATTTGAGTAAAATAACTGCAGTTATAAAAAGAACAAGACATGACTAGCATTGAGAACCTAACTGCCTAAATCTATTTTTACAGCTAAACCTTTAAACCAAAGCATGTAATATTATTGATCTAGTACATAGAGAATTTCACAAGGATTCCAAAAAGTCCTCATTTTCTATTTTACGATTTTTGTACGAATTACTATGAATTATCAAAGTGGAGCATTCAAATCTGCAAAAATCAGAAAGAAAAGGAATCTAAATCTTGCATCGAGGACCCTCAAGTTTCCACAAATAAAACCCGAACGAACGGATCCTTAGCGGCACTATTCATATGAGTCACAACTTCATCACTTAACCTTACGGAAGACACTCTATTCACGCGCAAGAGTAGGTGGTGCCGGCTCATGACTCCGGCTGGCCATGGTCGTGGCATGTGATGAAGTGGCGGGAGGGACCTGGGCCGTCGCGCACCATTGGTCTATCCGGCCCGACTGAGGTGGCTTTGGTGGCGCATGGCTCTCTGAAAAGCGGCGGCGCATGAAAACCCACCGGCCATGGCGACAATGCATGGCTTGGCGAGCGGCGATTCATATGGCGGCGCAGCAATGGCAATGTGTGTGGCAACGAACATGCGCACTGGGCATCGATAGGTTGCCGGCAAAGAATGAGCTCGGCGGTGGCATCCATGGTGGCAGTGCTCCGGCGTCTTGGCTGCTGAGAGGAAATGCGCCAGGGAGGCGAGAGCGAGGAGGAGGCATGGAGACACCGGCGCTCGGTTTGAAGCAAGCAGGCACGAGGCGGCGGCGTGGCACGGAGGTCGGACGCGCGTCGGGCCATGGGGCGCGGCTCGGTGCATGGCCGCCACGAAGTCATTTCATCGAGTACGTGGCGCGCGTTGCTGTGCCCGACTTGGAGTCCGTTTTCGACATATTCGGTGCAGATTCGGGCCTTGGCGCCTATAGAAAAGTTGCTGTCCTCAGAATGCTCTTCGACTTTGATTAAGGGTGCTCGGCCATTAGGCTGTTGGATTAGCATATAATTAGTACTAAACTTGATAGTGTCAGTGATTTGACAGTGACAAGCAAACATCCAAAATTGATGGTCGAAATGAAATGCAACTAGTGCCATCTTCTTGTATGTTCTTCCCCATCATGTAAGCTCCAACTTTTACATTTGGATCAACTGAAGTTGCTTAGCAAAATTTGGAGAACGCGGAATGTCATCGTCGAGGCCCAAGATTTCAGACTTAGGTCTACAAACAGTGGCGCTTTCGATCTTGTAACCTCTGTTTGCATCATCTACAAACTGAACTAGGGCATACTCCAAAAACAAAACTATGTTGTACTCAAAACAAAGAACAACTTTTATTAAAGGATCAAGGTCTGGATCAGCTCGGTTTGCAAGATATAAAGCTCCAAAGTAGGGTACCCGCAGTCCAACCTCAGTTAGGACTTAGCCAAATTCCTGGGCTCCAAAACAGCAATTGTATTGAATCTTGTGAGTTCCATTTGACTAGGTTAGAGGCCAAAATAACTCTTGACCTTTAAACAAAGTTTGTTCTACATGATATGGACTACAACTTTCATTTAAGGTCCAACCTCAAAACTGGTATAGAACCTACTGTTCTACTTTGACCAAAGTAGGATCACGATGAAGCTTAAATTATCCTTTTTGATCCATTGGAGCGTTTTCGTGGCATTTGCCCAACATGAACCTTTCATGACTTTTGTTGTAGAGTTCATCTAGAGTCATTTGGGCATGGTTGCAAAATTTGGTTGATGATCGAGAATTCCATTCACTTTATAAATTAATTCAAGCAAGGACATAACTCGTCATTTCATGTGACTTTTTGATTCCAAACTTCATGAAACTTTTCGAGTGCCCAATATAGATGGGTATTGATGTGAGACACATGAAGATATCCCAATCACACCACCCAAGCATATATCTTGAAAAGGGGTCTATAGACGAGCAAATGTGCAATATCCAAGTTTAGGTTGGGGCTCGTTTCTATAGGTTTGACATTGACATCTTCATCCTCACTTAATATACCAGGTTTTAGCTCAAACCCATTGCTTAACCGGTGGCAAACACCTGGGGTGTTACAGAACCCGACTTTGCTCCTGTTCCATAGTATTCTTTGAGCATGTTTGGCGAGGCTCCAGCTCTCAAGACGTAGCTCCAAAGCAAGTACTCCACCATAGAGATGAGCTCCCACCAAACTGTTTCGTAGAGCTCCAGCTTTGAGATGGACTTATATGTAATTTTAAAAACATAATCAAGGACCAAAATAAAAAGAAACGCATCTTCTTCCTCCCGATGCAGCCATGGCGGGCATCCCACGTGCCACCTAGGGCCGGGCCTAGCAAGGGAGGAGTGCTCGGGAGGGGCTGACAACGGTGTCGCATCGGCTACAATACCATGACCGCACGGGGTCAGACTCGAACCAACGGCTGGCGACTTCATCATGTTGCTGCAGCGAGAGAGAAGAAGAAATCGAACCAGTATCTATGTAACGAGTGGCAGTGGTGGGTAATTTTCACCGACACCATAAAATTAGTGTTTTTAGAGCACCCATTGAGGTGCTCAGTGGATTTGGTGAATCTGGGAGCTAGGTTTTTGGCAGATCGAGTTCGTAGAGCCGGGACGTTTGACGGGGAAAAAAAGGCAGCAAAGCTGTTCGTAGAGCCTGTTCGCTGGTTGGTGCTGGTGCTGGTTTGGGCTGGCTGGTGCTAGTTTTTTTGAGAGAAAAACACCGTTGGCTGGCTGGTTTGAGCTGGCTGAAACTAACAAACGAACAAGCTGGTTGCTTGCAGAGAAATATATATGGATGCTCGTATCTAGGTGAATTATAGTGATATATATGGTTTGAAACAAACTTCATGTGAAACACAGGTACAACTTAGGTGAAATACCCTCAGTAGCAAAATAATTGATGTTTTAGATTTGTCCTAAAAAACAAACTATTTAAATTTAATTAAATTTAAATGAAAATATATGAATCGTCTATAATATCAAATAAGTATTATTAGATTTATCATTAAATATATTTTTATATTATAGCACCATAAATAAATGATTTGACTTAGGAAAAACTCTGAACATTAGTTAATTTGGAACGGTTGTAGTACCAATGTCCCACACAAACTTAATTCCAAAATGAAAATTTCAAGACGAAATAGTATGCTACCACCTGTTGGCACCTGTTGAACTATGATATAATCTAACAGAGTGTTTTAGAAATTCTTAGAGCAACTACAGAAACCTTTATATAGTTTTTTATATAGGAATAGAGATTTTGGTGAAAAATATCCTCCAACATATTGTTTATTTAGATATCCAAATATTGCTATGCACCATTTTGTATATCTTGCTAGATAAAGCTAGAGAGCGAGATTGACTCTCTGTGCGCAGGATATGTTAAAAATTGTTTATTGAAATGACTCTTCAAATGATAATTTACAGCGTGAAATTACAAACGACTCTCGAAGATGCTCTTATATTGGTAGAATGTTGAGAAAATTAAAGTCACCAGTAGCAAGTATTAACCATCAACGATAGTTTATGTCATAACCTTATTCTAAATTATAATTTGCTTTAGCAACATTGAACCTCTCTAGTTTTGACCTAGATTACAGAAAATGCACACTATCTACACCATGAATCAAGACTCAGCCGCCCCTTTGGAACACGGGATATCTAAAACATAGGAATAGGAAAAATATAAGATTGAAGTTGCATGTCACTTGCAATCCTATAGGAATTGAAAATGAAGAAAAATATCTAATGGAGCATTTGGATACAACATAGGAGAAGCACAGGAATTAGAAGAGAGATAGAGACGAAGAAAACTTTCTAAGAGGTTGGGCCTCATGTTAGATTTCCTCCAAAATTCATATGGAACGAGCCATTCCATATAAATTTTATAAGATTTCAGGATGGCCAATCCTTTGTTTCAAAGGGCACCATAGAAAAAATTCTTATATATAGGTTTAGATTCCTACAAAATTTCTTCACAAATCCTTCGTTCCAAACGAGGCCTCACTGTAAAATATATTTTGATAGTGTATTTATTCAGTATACCATAGATGTCAATATCTTTTTGTATAGATTTAGATAAAACTAGATAAGTTTGATTTAGAACAAAATTAAAACGAGTTATAATTTGGAACAAGAAGACATTTCTGAACGCAGTTGCAAATTCATTAAAACTTCAAACTTCAAAAAAAGTGGACACGAATACGGTCTCGTCGGAGTCTTCAATCTTCATCACACAAGTCTCGAGTCCCCACCCCAGCATGACGACAGCTCCGCCGCAACCGGGACCGGCCGCCGCGGCGGCGGCGGTTCACCTCGCCGACTACCTCGAGTCCGCGACTTTCGCGCCACCCCCTCCCCCTCCGCCGCCGCCCTCCCCCACCACAATCCTCACCGCGTGGTCGCGCCTCCGCGACCCTTCCACCTCCCCCGCCGACGCCCTCGCCGCGCTAGAGACGCTCCACCACCACCGTCGCGCGCTCCTCCTCTCCTCCGCGCACGCCTCGCTCCTGCTCCCGCTCCTGCCGCTACACCCCCGCCTCGTCGCCCCGCTGCTCGCCGCAGCCCCGCACCTTGTCCCCGCCTCCGTGACGGCCTCCCTCCCCTTCGCCCTTCGCCTCCTCCTCCTCGGCGCCCGCGCCTCCGTCAAGGGTCTCCCGAGCCATGCCAGCTTCGGGAAACCCGCTTCCACCGCGAAGAGTCCCGGCAGTGGTGAGTCTACCAATGGCCATGACGATGACCCTGTTGTGGCTGTGAGCCGCGTCCTTGAAGATGTGGAGCGGGGCGAACAGAGCATCGATGATCTCGACCACCTCGCGCTTACAGGGGTTGGTTACGCGCTGGCGTCTGCTGATGAGGTGCAGTTCAGAAGGATTCTTGTGTCCTTGCTTAGGATTTGCGGGAGGACTGGGAATCTGGCTACTGGTGTTCGGGTGCTTAAGCTGATGGAGTGGCTGGTAATGGGGTTCGTCGAGTCGAGGAAGATGCGGAAGGTTCAGGTGCTCTTTGAGCTGATTTCACCGGAGAAGTGTGAGGGCGAGGATTATGTGCTGTTTCCAGTGGTGATGGCGGCCTGTGGCGGATTGCGGGCATTGAGGGTTGCTTCCGCGAGATACCGGCTGGACTTTGATCCACGGCTGAAGCAGGTGCCTGAGCGGACAATTCAGTTTGCAGCTGAGCGGGCTGTTTTAGAAGGGAGGCCTGCCGATGATCAGCGTATCCTTGTTCAGTGTGTCGCATTGGGACTGACACGGTGTGGGCAGGTTGTGTTTCATGAGTCTGTGCTACAGTGTGTCTGTATGGGATTGCTGAAGGAGCTCCTCCCATTGCCTGATCTGCTCAGGATGTCAGTTGAAAATGCAGAAGGGAACTCAGCCGAGTTTGTCAAGGCTCAGGTCAACCAACACCTTGGTAGTGTTCTTTTCAAAGAGGCAGGTCCGGTGACTGGGGTTCTTTGCAACCAGTATTCATATGCAAATGACAAGGCTAAAAGTTTTGTCGAAACTTGTGTGTGGGAGTATGCACAGGAGATTTATTGTCATCTTCGTGCAGCAGTGTTGCTGCACTGGGGGAAGCAGGATGATTTGATTACGGCGATTGACAAGATTGCTGAGGCCTCATTTCTTATGGTTGTAGTCTTTGCAGCCAAGGTCACTGAACACAGGCTAAATGCTAAGTCCTCCAAGGGGTTCCAACCCGAGGTTGCTGCTAGAATCTTGGTGGCGTTCTCTTGTGTGGAACATCTTAGGCGATTGCATCTTCCTGAGTACACTGAGGCAGTCCGGAGTGCTGTGCTTGCCATTCAAGAGAACACAGCAGCTACTGCTTTGTTCATCGAGTCAATGCCTTCATATACTGAATTGACAAGTAAACCAGGTTAGTTCAATGACACTTCTCTTGCTGCTATGTTGTGATTGCTACTAGGATGTGCTAGCAATTGTTGGTTAAGATTCATGTTTGATGTGTTGCAGATTTACCAGCCTTGGCTGGAACAACATATATCTGGCATAGAGATGAGGTTCAGACATCACGCATACTGTTTTACTTGCGGGTTGTGCCAACTTGTGTTGGCCTCATTCCAGTTCATATGATTCAGGATAAAGTGGCTTCAATTATGTTCTTGTATCCTTTTTTGCATTCCATTCTATTGTTTTGTCTTCTTATTTATTACTTTTAATTTATTTATGAAGACTTTCAGTACTAAAAATGATGTGACCCTTAGCATGAAAAAGATATCTACAGCATTCAAATGAGAAAGTTACAAGTGCTTCACACTCTGTGATGGTATCATTCTCGTCATCTGGCAGTGATACTGATCAGGATGATCGAGCAGCTTTGAAAGAGCAACTTACCTTTTACTACATCAAGAGATCTTTGGAGGTAGTTCATTTGGCATCTTTTTCCTTATTTGATTTTGAACTGGAAGATGACTCATTTCTGACTTTGTTCATTAATAGGCTTATCCTGGGGTAACCCCATTTGATGGATTAGCATCAGGAGTCGCAGCACTTGTACAACATCTTCCTGCAGGCAGCGCTGCCATTCTTTTTTGTATCCATAGCCTTGTTGTCAAGGCTAAAGATCTCTGCGAGGTTGCAAAGGTTCAGAACAAATCCTTGTGGAGATCATGGGAAGAGAGCACAGATCCGTGTAAGAAAATGTTGGATCTGCTGCTGAGACTAATCTTCCTTGTGGATATTCAGGTTGGAATATGGTCATGTTCTTTTCCTCTCATGTAGTTCTAGTTTTAGAGCAACAGTTCTGTAAAACTGATAGCTAGCTCAATTGTTGCATTGGGGGTATGCTTTGTCAGTTTGCAGAATGTTAGAAACATAAAAGTGACTTTTCTCTAACAGACTTTTCTCTAACAATAATTCATACTAAAGTAGCTAAGAGAAGTGTCAAATATTTCTCATGTGCTGGCTGAATGTTGGTGATGATGGAGCCTAACTTGGCTTGTTTTCCGATGACTCTGAAAGCCACGGTGTTCAATGATTTTCTTCTCTTTGCAGTCATTCCCTTACCTGCTGAAGGAGCTGGCAGAATTTGTAACCCTGCTACCAAAGGAAGGCCAGGATGCGCTGCTCGATGACATGCACGCCCATGTTGCGGAGTCTGATGATGTCACTCGGAAGCCTGTACTCGTCTCATGGCTGCAGTCTCTCTCCTACTTAAGCTCGCAGTCGAGAAGTGAATCTCACAGCAAGGCCAAGAGTGCTGCTGCATCCGTAGCAAGCGATGAGCTGGCCCTGAACAGAGCCATGGCACGCTTGTGATACCATCTTGCCATGCGTGTAAAACTAGCAGTACATAATAATGTAAATCGGAAGCGTGTTGCAAGTGCATGAGTAAATTAGGTGCATGTTGCAAGGATTGATATTTCAACCACAGACAATATGCTCAAAAGGAAATGGAAGGGAGATCCCTTGTGTTATTTCTGTGATCAGGAGGAAAGTTCTTCTCATCTCTTCTTCTCTTGCCTGGTAGCTAAAGTTATTTGGTCCATCCCTGAATCAGAAGCCTGGCCCAGATGTGGCTGAATCGTGTGTTCATTCTCCTTTCTTGCTCTGTCTATTACTTCTGAACAATCGCGTCAAAAAAAAAAAATCTTACAAGGATTGTCGATCCTTCGCTTTGCCCACTGCCAAATTGCGGTTGCCTTTGGGGTAAAATGCGAAGTTTTTCAGTGATAATTAAAACAAACCTTGTGTTCTCTGGTATTTATAATGCCCATTTGGATGGGTCTTGATCTACCTAATCCCATTTTAACAATGAGCAATACAGATAAACTTTCAAGATCCTGATCTGATTCAGGCATAAATCAGTGTTACCATCACTTACCTCTAAGCTTACTGGCATCCAAATTTGGCATCCAAATTTCGCTGTTAAAGAACAAATTTATTTTAGACATTATTTTCCAACAAGGCAACAAGTCATTCATGATAAATGGTAAATACGCCAATTCTTAGCGTTAAACCAGTATTTACTATATACTTAGATTCTGAATTCTCTCATCTGCCGTCATACACGAAGTGGCTGCGCTGCAGCTTCGCATCCACAAGACAAGGATGCGGCAAAGAAACGGCAGTACATGTTTCAGGTTTGGGCACAAGTTCTCAGCCATTCAACAAGACCCATCAGCCAACTCGCACAAAGCACAGGTCCTCCAGGGCAAATCGAGAGGCAAGCAGCAAGCTCGGACTGGCCATCTCTATGAACCTGATGTGTATGTATATCTTGTCTGAACAGCCTCCAGTAGCTCTATAAGTTTCCCTGAGATGAATCAAGCAACAAAAGGCTTATTGCAATGTGCTTTCATGGAACACAAATACATCAAAGGCGTGAACAAGGCGTACATACCTGTAAGGAAGCCAATCAATGGCACCGGATTCAGCACCTGTTCAGCCTTCTGGAGATGACGCCTGTCAGGACACAATGCAGGCATGAGCATAGAAGGTTCAATTTCAATCAAGCAACGATCTTCTTAGAGCAGGGTGTTCATTACTTGGTGTAACTGGCAAAGAAAGGATCTCTCATCAAATAAAGGGCCCACATCATCTTTCGCCTTTTCAACTGATGGAATCAAACCAAAGAATAACTAGTTCAACAACAGTGAGGATAAAATGAAACAAAATCTAACTAGTTAGAGAACTGAAATCAACTTGCCTCATCCCTCTCAGCAGAACTGAGCTGATGCACTTTCCCTAATCTGTGACTCAGATCGGTCGCATGGGAATGGATGCCTAGACTTGTGAGTTCCACAGCTAGCGACACTAACCATGGGGTCCATGATTTGATTCCAAACTTTCTGATCAGAAGTACATACACAAGTGGCCTGAATATGTGAACAACCTCCCCTAAAACAAATAAGCGCCCAGTACCCCCTTTAGCAGACCAAATGCTTGCCAAAGTTGGCTTCTCGGCCACCATCACTGCACAGCACAGAAGGTTTAACTCGCTATACAACAACAACAACAACAACAAAGCTGTTATGGTAGGCAAGACGTATAAGCGCCGAACCAAGGAGAAAAGTGGCTAAGAAGTTGGATTAGATTTGATTCGATTTGGAGTTTCCTTAATTAGAGGTTTCCTTAATTATAGCATCAGGTGGTTGAGTCTGATTGTATAAGAGTCACACTTTACAAATTAATGGGATAGCCTGGGATTGTGTCATATTGACACCCTTGGGCGCCTGGCACCCTAACCCTATCTCTCTCTACCCCTCGCTTCCTCCAGCGCCGCCACGGCGCCTCGCCGCCGCCAGCGCCAGAGTCCGCCCCTCCACTCTCCTCCATACGCATTACGTAGCAAGGCCAGGCGCCATACCAACCTGGTATCAGCTCCATCGCTGCCCATGGATTCTGCCGCTTCCACCACTGCTCCATCGTCGTCGATCCCACCCGCATCCACCACCAGCCCCACGTCGGGCGTGTCGCTGCCCCTGGTGAACACGACGCCGCCCGCGCCGCCGCCCACCCTGGCCTCGATCGCTGAGATGTTGGCCAGCATGCAACTTCAGATGACCGCCATGAACAACCACCTGGCGGATCAGGGAGCGCGCCATTCGGCCCTCGACGGCAGACCGGCGTTCCCTCACTTCGGCTTGCCAGGGTTTGGGGGCGTCCCTCACCTGCCCGCATCCTCCTCACCGATGATCACGGAGATCGCGGCCGCCACTAAGAACTCCTCCGCCTCGGCACCGGTGGCACCGTCCATGCCGCTGTCCCTTCCGGCGCCGCCGCATTCCCAGCATTACCAGCAGGCGCCAACGCCACCGGCCGAGGGGGTGCCGATCACTCAGATCAGGTTTCCGCCCTCCCCATCGCCAATCCCAGGGTTCGGGGCCGTGGCTCCTATGCCGCTCCCGGCCTCCGCTCACATGGCCCCATCACAACTGTACCCCCCGCCTCCATCGGAATGGGAGTCTGCCGTTGTGCCGAAGTACCACAAGATCACCTTCGACACGTACGATGGCCGTGATGATCCCCTGGGGTGGCTCAACAAATGCGAGCAGTTCTTCCGCGGACAGCTCACTCGGGAGGCCGACAAGGTGTGGATGGCCTCATATCACCTGAAGGGAGTCGCCCAGCAGTGGTACCTTGTACTGGAGACCGACATCGGCCGCCCATCGTGTCCGGATTTCCGCCGTCATCGCCTCTGGCGCGCCCCGCCTCAACACCAACCACACGGCCGACTGCCAAAGCGCTGCCGGTCGGCGCTAACGTGGGACGCATACATGGAGGCATTCGGGCCGTGGGCGACGACGGGGACCTCACCCGCGCTGCGGTAGCGCCAAGCTCTTCACAGGTGGCCTTCCTGACTACATTCGGGTGGATGTTGAGCTGCACCAGCCCCAGAACCTTCAGCACGCCATGTATTTGGCTCGAGCCTTGAACGTCGCAGAACGCGCATACACGTCCGGCCCTTCCGGCTCCCGGTGGTCGCGACGCGCCGCCCGGGCGCTCCGTCGACCATGCCGGTGTCGCGGACGGAACCACGGCCGACTCCACCAAGGCATTCAAGCGGCTCACCCGAGGAGATGGCGGAACGCCGAAAGCTCGGCCTCTACTACAATTGCGACGAGCCGTTCGCTCGCGGGCACAAATGTGCCCGTTTGTTCTACTTGGAGGCTCCCAATTACATCGTGGAGGAGCCGGAGGACCTAGACGATGCGCCGCAACCGGCTGAAGAGGCCCAATTCGACCCGGAAAAGCCGATGATCTCTCTGTCCGCGGCGACGGGCATTCGGGCGCGCGACACCATGCAGCTGCGCGTCAAGATTGGCGCCCACGAGCTCACGGCACTCTTGGACTCGGGGTCGACACACAACTTCATCAACCCTGAGGCAGCACGCAGCGCCGGCCTTCAGTTCTCCGACAGCGCGGGCGCCCACGTCATCGTCGCGAACGGTGACCGCGTCGACTGCCAGGGCCTCGCGCGCGGCGTTCAGCTGCGGATCGGCACCGAAAGGTTCACGGTGGACTGTTTCTCCATCCCCTTGGCGTCGTACGACATGGTCCTCGGCCTCACGTGGTTGAGGTCGTTGGGGCCCATCCTCTGGGACTTCGCCACACTGCGCATGGCGCTCTCCTTCCGAGGTCGCCGGGTGGTGTGGACCGGCGTCGGCGCGCCGGCCGCGGCGTCCCCGGCAGCCCTGTTCACCACAGACCTCTGCCTCGACAAGGGCTCCGAGCGCGCCCTCCTCGACCTGCTGCTGGACGCCTACCAGGAAGTGTTCGCCGAACCCGAAGGGCTTCCACCGGCCCGGGCGTGCGACCACCACATCCATCTGAAGCCCAACACCGAGCCAGTGGCGGTCCGGCCGTACCGCTACCCCCAACTCCAAAAAGACGAGCTCGAGCTGCAATGCGAGGCAATGCTCGCCAAAAGGATCATCCGGGGCCACACCTCACCCTTCTCCGCGCCCGTGCGTTGTTGGTGAAGAAGCAGGACGGATCGTGGCGCTTCTGTGTCAATTATCGGGCCCTCAATGCGGTCACGGTGAAAGACAGGTTTCCAATCCCGGTTGTCGAGGAGCTACTCGATGAACTACACGGCGCCAAGTTCTTTAGTAAGCTGGATTTGCGCTCCGGCTATCATCAGGTGCGGGTTGCTGCTGTAGATGTCCACAAGACGGCGTTCCGGACACACCACGGACACAGTTTCTGGTGATGCCTTTCGGCTTGTCCAACGCACCGTCGACGTTCCAGGCGCTGATGAACTACGTCCTCAAGCCGTTTCTCCGCCACTGCGTCCTCGTCTTCTTCGACGACATCACGATCTCTGACTCTCTCGGGCGGAGCATCTCCGACACCGCGCGGTCCTCGGCGTCCTCGCGCGCACCGGCTCCACCTCAAATGGTCGAAGTGCGCGTTCGCCACCTCGGCGGTCCACTACCTCGGACATGTCATCACTGGGGAGGGGGTGGCTATGGACACGGCCAAGGTGGCGGTATGCGATCTGGCCGCGCCCTCGCGCGCAGCCGCAGCGCCTCACGCGGCTTCCTCGGGTTGGCCGGGTATTACCGGCGGTTCATCAAGGACTACGGGATCATCGCCGCGCCGGCCGCACGAATCGCTGCCGCAAGGACGCATTCCGGTGGGCGACGACGGTACGACACCGCCTTTCTCCACCCTCAAGGCTGCCCTCACCGCCGCGATCCTGCACCTTCCGGACTTCGCCGCCACATTCATCGTGGACTGCGACGCCTCCGGATCGGGCTTCGGAGCCGTGCTGCATAAAGATGGCGCGCCCATAGCCTTCTTCAGCCGGCCGTTCGCCGCACGCCACCTCAAAGTGGCGGCGTATGAGCGCGAGTTGATCGGGCTTGTTCAGGCGGTGCGCCATTGGAGGCCCTACCTTTGGGGGCGGGCGTTCGTCGTAAGGACGGACCACTACGCCCTCAAGTTCATGCTGGACCAGCGCCTATCTACAATTCCGCAACATCACTAGATTAGCAAGTTGTTTGGGTATGATTTCAGGGTGGAGTTTCGCCCCGCCGCTCCAACGTCGTCGCCGACGCTCTCCAGAGGGACGGCGGCGGCGGCGCCGCCGTCTCCGTCCTTTTCAGGCGCGCGCGCTTTGTTCTCGGCCGTCTCGGTGCCTACTTTTCCGGCTCTTCGACGATTTGCGGACGGAGGTGGACACCGACCAAGATCGCTGCTGCGCTTCGTCGCGACGCCGCGGGTCGCCGGAGACCACGGTGACTCCTGGTGCGTCCGCGAGGGGCTGCTGCTACACAAGGGGCACGTCTTCGTGCTCAGCTCATCGCCGATCCTCGACGACGTCCTCCAGCTCGCCCACACGGGGGGCCACGAGGGCATCCAGAAGACGCTACTCCGCCTCCGCACGGAGTTCTTCGTGGAGCACGACCGCCGCGTCGTCGGCGACTTCGTGCGGTCCTGCGCGGTGTGCCAGCGGAACAAGACGGAGACGCTACACCCGGCCGGGTTACTGCAGCCCCTGCCGGTGCCGTCGCGTGTGTGGGCGGACATCTCCCTGGACTTCATAGAAGCCCTGCCCAAGGTCCATGGCAAGAGCGTCCTGCTCACGGTGGTGAGCGGTGTTCTCGGCACGCTCATTTTATTCCACTCGGCCACCCCGTACGGCCTGCGTCGGTGGCCCGCGCCTTCTTCCAGGACATCGTTCGGCTACACGGCTTCCCGGAGTCCATCGTCAGGACCGGGATCCGGTGTTCACGGGTCATGTGTGGCGCGACCTCTTCCCTCACGCCGGCGTCAAGCTCCCGCATGAGTTCTGCGTTCCACCCGCGAGCAGATGGGCGATCCAAGTCATCAACAAGACCATTACCATGTATCTTCGATGTTTGACGGTGTGATCGCTCGCGGATCGGGTGGATTGGCTCCCATGGGCGAAGTTTTCCTACAACTCATCCTACCACATGGCGCTCAGACCTCCCGTTCCATGTGGTGTACGGTCGGCCGCCCCAGACTTTGCGCCTACGCCCGGGGCGGGCGCGCGCGGAGGCGGTGGACACCTGTCGCGCCAACCGGGAGGAGTTCCTTGAGGAGGTGCGTGCTCGACTTCTCCAAGCTCAAGAACACGCCCGCGAGTTCTACGACGCCAACCACCGCGAGCTCGAGTTCGCCGTCGGTGATTGGGTGCTCTTCGGATGCTCCACCGCCACACGAATCTCGGTACTGGCGGCCGGGGCAAGCAATTTGGCCAAAATCACGCCGGCCCGTTCGGTGGCCGGCCGCGCGTCGGCGAGGTGGCCTATCGTCTTCGACTTCCGAGGGCGCACGCATCCACGACGTCTTCCATGTCGGCGCCCACGAAGCCATTCGGGGTACACCGCCCTCGGTCGCCGCCTTACCGCTCCTCTACGCCACGGTCGGCGATCTGCGGCGGCCGAACAACGCCCTCCGCTCGAGAACTTTTGCGGCGTGTGGCACGTCCTCGTCGAATGGGCGGGCATGCGGTGTCGAAGCAACTTGGGAGCCGGTTCGGCGTTTGGCAAGCCCATCCTCCTTCCACCGAGGACGATTTGTTTCCGAGAGGGGAGAGAGCGTTATGGTTGGCAAGACGTATAAGCGCCGAACCAAGGAGCAAAGTGGCTAAGTTGGATTAGATTTGATTCGATTTGGAGTTTCCTTAATTAGAGGTTTCCTTAATTATAGCATCAGGTGGTTGAGTCTAATTGTATAAGAGTCACACTTTACAAATTAATGGGATAGCTCGGGATTGTGTCATATTGACACCCTTGGGCGCCCGGCCCTAACCCTATCTCTCTACCTCGCTCTCTTCCAGCACGCCATTTACCACGCCTCGCCGCCGCCGCCTTGAGTCCGCCCCTCCACTCTCCTCCATACGCATTACGTAGCAAGGCCAGGCGCCATACCAAAAGCCTTTTAAGTCCCAAACAAGTTGGGGTAGGCTAGAGTTGAAACACAGCAGAAGCAATCAAGGTCCAGGCACGTAAATAGCTGTTTTCCAAGCACTCCTATCTAAGGCTAAGTCTTTGAGTATATTCCATCATTTCAAGTCTCCTTTTATTGTCTCTACCTAAGTCAACTTCGGTCTTCCTGTGCCTCTCTTCACGTTACTATCCTGGCTTAGGATTCCACTATGCACCGGTGCCTCTGGAGGTCTTCGTTGGACATGTCCAAACCATCTTAACCGGTGTTGGACAAGCTTTTCTTCAATTGGTGCTACCCCTAATCTATCACGTATATCATCGTTCCGAACTCGATCCCTTCTTGTATGACCGCAAATTCAACGCAACATACGCATTTCCGCGACACTTATCTGTTGAACATGTCGTCTTTTCGTAGGCCAACATTCTGCACCATACAACATAGCAGGTCTAATCGCCGTCCTATAAAACTTGCCTTTTAGCTTCTGTGGTACCCTTTTGTCACATAGGACACAAGATGTTTGGCGCCACTTCATCCACCTTGCTTTGATTCTATGGCTAACATCTTCATCAATATCCCCGTCTCTCTGTAGCATTGATCCTAAATATCGAAAGGTATCCTTCCTAGGCACTACTTGACCTTCCAAACTAATATCTTCCTCCTCCCGAGTAGTAGTGCCGAAGTCACATCTCATATACTCAGTTTTAGTTCTACTGAGTCTAAAACCTTTGGACTCCAAAGTCTCCCTCCATAACTCCAGTTTCTGATTCACTCATGTCCGGCTTTCATCAACTAGAACTACATCGTCCGCGAAAAGCATACACCAAGGGATGTCCCTTGTATGTCCCTTGTGACCTCATCCATCACTAAGGCAAACAGATAAGGGCTCAAAACTGACCCTTGATGTAGTCCTATCCTAATCGGAAAGTCATCCGTGATAAGGTTTAACTCGCTATAAGAAAAGAAAAACCATAGACCCAGAAGTATCAAGCAGAAATATCAAGATAATTAAATAGATGGCAGTCAATTATTGGCCCTTGAACTTGAACTATCACGATGGTCCTATTTTGGCCCAAACTCAAATATCAGAAAGTTTTGGCCCTTCAACTATTCAAACCATTTGTTTTTGGCCCTTCAGCTGTTTTGAAGCTGGTTTTTGCTGACATGGTGACGGTTTCACCATGCCAGCAGTAGGTCTGAATACCACGTAGGATGGTTTCACCATTAAATTTGGTTCTCTTTTTTTTCTCAATCTAGGACTGGACGTTGTGCATAATATAAAATTATAAACCCATCCTACATGGCAAAACCATCGCCATGTCAGCAAAAACCAGCTTCAAAACAGCTGAAGGGCCAAGTTGTGTGGTATTTTGAGTTTGGGGACCACAATCGGACTGTCATGATAGTTAGAGGCCAAAAATGGAACTTCTTCGTAGTTTAAAATTTATTACCAGTTGGCTCAGGAGTAGGCTGGAGCCTCCGCATCCACATAGGATCAGACATCATTTTTGTATTCTCGCCAAATTTGTTCAAAGCAGCTACTGCCCTTTTCTCAAGACTCTTAGATACAAATCCATTTTTTCCATCCAGACCCTTGGTCATAGCTTTGTGTCCATTTCCGGCATGTCCATCCATCGGATAGATGGCTGGAACTCCATTACCATTTACTCCATAGTTATTTTCAAGAACGGTCACCTCTTCTTCATTTGCCACCTCCCCTCCTTGTAAGAGCATCTTGTATCCACTTTCCCGAAAAGCAGCTAACCTGACACCTGCTCTGAAATATTGCATAATTGTTATCATTTTGTCTGACTCTGAACAACACAGGTAGATATGCAACTAACCAGGGAAAAAAAAAAGAAAAAAGAAAAAACCTGTCTTACTTCACTGCTTCCGTAACAGCAAGAAAGCTCCACTTGCGATCATCGCCAACAAAGTGCTGGGCAGCAACCTCAACAACCGCCTCTACATCCTTTAGTACAGAGACAACAAGACCCCATGGGATAGATTGCTCCTTGGAGGCAAAGGAGTGATTCTCAGTGGGTGCATCAATTATGTGCTGATTGACAGAACTCACAACACCCAGTAGTGCATATACTGTTCAGACAATGAAGTGTGAGTTAATGTGAAGAAATCAAGCATATAGCACTCAAAACAGACTTCTCTCAATCAAAACTGTAAACAATGTCTTTGATTCTTGAAAAAATTATCATATCAGTATGCATATGTTACACACTGAACAAAATATTGATTTATCGCATAGGGAATTGAGTCACCTAGACAAGATTATAGTAAATTCAAGAGCTAAGCTCTACAATATCTTATCTCAGATTAGTACCAAAATAGTTGGGCAAACAGTATGCAATTATATATTTTTAGTAATAGCGAAGAATTTGATTCCCTGAGGCATAATACCTTGAAGCAAAACATACATGCTCAATACAGAAATATTAAACACTAAGGCTTATTCAGAATAGTCAGTAAAACATATTCCAATGGTCTCTTACATCGAATAGCAAAAAATGAGCATACAACACCTGTGATTCTTTTTAGGTAACAATGGAAGATGCCAGGATAAAAACGTGAACACAAATTCTGAAATAAGCTTAATCAGTCTAGTGCTAAGGCCACCCTAGGCAGCTGTATATGACTAAATGAGTTCCATAGAAATAAATGGCATGATAGTAGCAAATAACATTCATTTCCTTTATGAAATAACTCACATAGCGACCATGGTAGCACATTGGACTTCTAGAACCTAGGTGATTTTAGAGCAATATCAAACAGGAAAAGATGGTTTGCAGTTTGCACTTGGGTGGTACTGTAACAAACAGATTATTTTGGCACAACAATATTGATCACATTTTGGCCTCAAGCAGAAAAGATCATGTATCACTCCGTGAATGCAGACATGAGATCGCAGAAACCTAGGAAAGCAGTTACAGTAACGGTAACACCCAAATAGGAAACATGACCCAATATGAAAGTTGGTTGTCAATTTTTTTGTCGCCATGTGTTGTCTATATAACGTCACTTATTAATCATTATGGAAGGAAAGGGGGGCTTTGACACGTGAAACCACATGCGACATGCACTCGTCAACTTTACCCGCCCATAATTTGAAATCTGGGCATCCATATATCTTAACAGTCACTAGGTAATGCAGCATATCACAAGATATACGACCTATGCCTCTTAAATCATAACTATTTCAGTATGTTCTACTTCTAGCAGCACACAATATATTTGCAGCATGGCAATTGCAGCTCTTATTTTCCATATCATTACCAGTTCACACAGTTTGATGACACTTTAAAGGCTTGAATTAACAAAGATAAGGCACTGATACAGCTCAAAATCCAAATCTATGAGACAGTAAACATATACATGACCAGCAATATATTCAGATAGTAAAAACCACAGAGTGGAACTAAATGTTACTCCAAACTGAAGGAAGGACCATTGAGAGCACCTGCTTCCGGCGCGATCTCAGAGTTGGCGAAGCGCTCCGGGAGTATCCATGTCAGCCCCTGAAAAGAGTTGAAGCAAGCATAAGCAAAGTGGCAACTCCTAGGCCTCATATCGATTAGCTAAAGCAGCTGCGATACAAAATCTGTAACCCCCAAAACAAGCATCCAGCAACGTAGAGCAGAACCTAGAGAAATTTGCAAAGGAAACGCGAAGCCAGTACTCATCCGTGATGAGGAACAAGGCCTGAAGTCGCGAGGACGAGCGGAACCACAATCACATGAATTCGCGTAAACCCCAATCGAGTAGACCCCGACCACCCACGAGACCGCGCGATTCAAGCTCAGCGAACCCCAAGCGAGACACACACGGACACACCCCTATCTATTAGCATAGCAAGCACATCATCCCCGAATCGACGACGGACTAAGCTCACGGGACCAACGGAGAGCAGAAAATGATCGTGAGGGAAGCAGAGCGGGAAGCGGGATCGGGGGTTTACGTTGGCGAGGGACTCGAGGGAGCGGACGAGGTCCCTGTTCCTGCGCACCCAGAGCTTGTACGCCTCCATGGCGGCTGGCAGCGGCGTCAGCGATGGCGACGACGACGCCGGTCCGGGCGCCACCGCCCCCCCCCCCCCCACACACACACACACGCAGATGCTGCTGAAGAGGACGGAAGAGCGGGAGATGGCGGAGGAGTGAGGACGATGCCCCTGCGATCGGAGTCGTCGGGGGCGGGTGGAATCGCGGCGACTGCGAGGCGGCCGCGGAGGAGGTGGGGCGGCCGTCGGGATGGGAAGGGAGGATTGGCTCTCTCCGTCTCTCTCTCTCTCTCTGGTAAAGACGTGTGACCTGTGACGGCGTCAGCCTGGTAACTGGTTAGCTTCTGACTGGTGGGGCCGCCTGCGCAGCGGATTCGATTTGATTTTAAGCTCCTTTTTCTTCTTTTTGCTTTTTATTACGGGAGTAGATTTCGATTTTTCGTGTTGACTGTGTTTCTCCCGTAAAAATAAATCAAGTCATGTGAGATTTCTTGCAATTGCGCTGGTGGAAAAGAAATGGGTAACTCTGGTCAAGTTTGGTGTGGACTAGGGCCTGTTCGGTTGGTAGAATTTTGGTTGAAACTGGCTGAAAAACATTGTTTTGGCTGAATTTTTTGAGAGAAAAATACTATTCCGACTAAAAAAAAGCCGAACAAATCGAATATGGGGTAAGCTGAACAGGGCCTAGGGAATGTAATTAGCTGATACTTTAGCCGTTACTAAATCCGTCCCAAATTATAAGACGTTTTGATTTTTCTATATATATTGACTTTACTATGTATGTGGACATAGCGTATATCTATGTGCATATCAAATATAACGTATCTATAAAAATTAAAGCATTTTATAATTTAAAACAACTTAAGTAGCAGTTTAGCACCGCATCCATGACCGTACATGTATTAACGAATTGCAAATGAAGCCATGCTGCGTCGCTCTCCCTGCTTTTACTTGGTTGTCTTGTATCGTCTCCCGCCATCCATCCGCCCCGCTGCCAACACCCAAGTACCCAACACAGCCAGGCCAGGCCAGGCCATGCGATTTGTTGTACTGCTAACATGTAATTCATGCGAAATTGACAAGGCCCAACCAACAACCAAAGCGATGTGATGCCGTACTACTAGTTTTTTTTTTTTTGAGAAACATGTAGTACTACTAGTAAAGATGTTCACCTGTGCCATGGTCCGGTCGGTCCAATTCGCAGTCGCAGTGACCACTCAGCCCAGGCGAGCCGGCCGGCCCTCTGCACGCTGCACTCCATGTCTATGGTGCAGCTGCAGCTGCAGCTTTGCATAGCCAACAGCTGCACACGAGCTGAACTCCACTCCGCGTCCACCCCAAGGCCTTCTTTAGCTGGCGATTTTTTTTCGAAAAAATATACCGTAGCACTTTCGTTATTATTTGATAATTATTATTCAATCATAGTCTAATTAGACTTAAAAGATTCATCTCGTAAATTTCATCTAAACTATGTAATTAGTTTTATTTTTTATTTATATTTAATGCTTATATATACGTCCAAAGATTCGATGTGACGAGATATCTTAAAAAATTTTACAAAATTTTAGGATCTAAACAGACACAAGTCCACATAGCATGTGAGGTCTGCGCGTGAGCAGAGCACGGGTGTACGGTGTACCCAACAATGGACATTTCTCAACTCCCAAATTCATGTCAGGATCAGGCGAGATCGTGCCAATTCGGTTACAAAAATGACGGCACCAGATCGATCGCTGACCAGTGATCTCAAGGCGACAGGTCAACGGGCACAGCGTCAGATCAGATCCCATTGATGGCGACCGACCACGTTGCTTACCGCTACCGAGCATCTGAAACACACCATTACATACATACATCAGCTAACAGACGGTGACAGCAGACACAGCCAAGCATACCCGTACCAACTTGAACCAGAGAAGCTCTCTTTCCACCGTAATCCGGCATCCGGCCATCCAGGTTCAAGAAAGAGGATGCCGGTGTCGACATCGACATATAGATAGACAAAACTGGGCGGAACCACGACATAGCTAGGGATCCCGTGGAACAAGGATCGATCTCCGGATCACCGTTCTCATTTCTCTACACAGCCAAAAATCAAAGAAAGGTGCATTGTCGGGATAGCACAGCACACCATCTTAGTCTTACTATAGATTAACGCAGCGGACAAAATGGGTACTCGCCGGGCCCAAGCATTGCGACCTTAATTTACAGAAGTGGGGCAGGGCAAGGGACGGGAATGAATGGCTCATCCATCTAGTAGGCGTGCTCGAGGTCCCTGAAGTACTCGTGCTCGAGGGCGGCACGGGCGTTGATTCTCTTGCTGGGATCTAGCCGCAGCATCTTCTGCAAGAACAACGGTGGGGAGAAGTCAAGTCAGAGATGTCAAGGTGCGCACTGATACAATCGTACAGAATTCGGGGCAGTGAAATGAAAGGCTAGCGTGAGCGAATAATGCAATCGTCTAGTCTGATTATGTTCTGTGGGGTTGACATATAGCAAATCATCATGTGGTTTAAGTGTAAGCGTAACACAGGACGTACATGAAAGGGAATCATGTACTACTGGCAGTTGTACAAAAAGCAATGCAGCTGCAAGATTCCAGTTACAAAAAATGACCCCTACCCAGTGTAAATAGTGCTACAACTGTCCTTAGACTAGGGAAATTGCAATACCTGGTAAAAAAAATGACCCCTGTGCATTTAGATTCACATGTTTGAAGAGAATATGAGTCTGAACCAATATTGGAAGAGATGCCTAAATGCTACAATCCAGGTGCACTTGCAGCCCCACAAGCGCAGGCGTTTCCAAAGATAGCAAATATGTGCTACAGAAAAGAGGGAATTTGTGCACGGATTAGGCTGAACCTCATGTTAAAACATTTGCAGGTTGCAGCCTCAATAATGCAATATTGTAAGTGCATAGAGACATGACCAAAAAAAAAGGGTAGAAACTTATCGCTAGGTTTCCATTTCCCTCTTCTTCCAGTGGATGAAACCTTGGGCTACTCAAATGCAAACAGATTTTCAGCCTTCATATAAACCCACAAAGAAGGCCATGTCATCTATTCACTTAGAAAAACTAATGGCATGGGGAAAAAAGTAGAAGGTGATCTTGCAGAGTAAGGAAAAATGGAGAACATAAGTAGAAAATGCAAATAATTCATGAGTCTGACTTACAGATAGAAGATCGATTCCTGCCGGTTCAAGTGTTGGGACCACTGTTGCAAGATCCTACAGCATGAACCTCGTGTTAGAGCCAAAAATGGTTTCACTGTAATGTTGAATTACCCTCATACACAAGCAAAAAGGAGAACCCAAACTTATCTGTAACAGATTAACCGAGCAGAACACGGTACAGGTTTTCATCCACACTCACAACTCAAAACCCTACCCCACTGTTTGCAACAATAAAAAGGACTTGATTATTATTTACCACAGATGGCCACTTTGGGAAAGTTGACTTGTAATCAGGTAATGAGGCAACGCCTGGCCATGTTTCTTCAGTTGGAGTACCCAAAATTCTGCATTAACAGAAGAGGATGCACAAGCACAACCCAGATAAGATATTTTTTCTGCAACATGCAACAGACTAAAGAAAGCTTGAACAACTCTTGTAAATAAGACCTGAAAATCTTAAACAGCTCATCAATCTCAGAATCACCAGGAAAAAGTGGCTTCTGGTTCACCATTTCAGCGAAAATGCAACCAACTGACCACACGTCAACAGGGGTGGAATAATGCCTTGCACCAAGAAGAATTTCAGGTGCTCTATACCAAAGTGTCACCACCTAATAAAAAGTTCAGTTCCAATCAAATGATGACAAACTAAAAAGGAAAGGAGAAGATGTGGAACATCATGGTAATAGTCGTATGCACAGGACAAAGTAACCAATCCTAAGGCGTACTACAGAAAAGCACACAGGAATGGTGTTACCGGCAGTTACTAAATAGCCTTCGCACGAATATGAAAGGTGCACAAATGAGTCAGGCAGTGGTACTGGTACGCCATGTGAAGAAAATTGTATGCATGTAGCCTAACGAACTGGCAATTACGATTTGTTATGCAACAAAGGCAACAATGATCACCACAATTGCACTATCGCCAAGCAGATGAGTGATTTTTTTAGAACTTCCTTAACAGCATTTCCAGTTTATACAAAGGCCTGTTTAGATATGTATATGCATAAACATGTGTTCCGTTTCTCTTTCCATTTTTAGCTTCAATACTTGCTCTGTTGTGTGCACAGGACAAAAGCAAACACTCTGAAGGCGTACTGCAGAAAAGCACACACAAATAGTGTTACTGGCAGTTACTAGTCGTTGCACAAATATGAAAGCGTGCAAGCCAGTCAGACAGTGGTATCAGTATGCCATATGACGAAATGCATATGCATGTGGCCTAACAGACTTAGCAATTACGAACAGTTGTGCAACAAAGGCAACAACAAAAGCATTTTGTAACAGTGTTCCTTTGCCAGGATGCTAACATGGCAAGACAATTTTTCATCTGCCATGGCTTAACTCAGGCAGATACCTTAAGTCAGCGTACCAGACAAATAACATGTTGTCCAGCTGTAAAATGTACCTCTTGAGTAAAAGTCAGGACAGGAATGCCGAATGCCCTTGCCAATCCAAAGTCAGCACTATCACCAATCCAAAGGCAACAATAATTTTAAATTACCCAAGAATGCTGTCGTCTCGTACTGCACTATCACCAAGCAGATGACAAATTCGGTTATTGTCCTAGAGCTGTCCTTCGTAACGGCCTTTCCAATTTTATATAAATAAAAGCCTATTTAGATGTGTCCATTATTAGCTTCAACGCTTGCTCAGTTTCTCTGTCATATGCAAACGGCAAAGGTAAACAATCTTAAGGCGCACTACACAAAAGCACACGGGAATGGCGTTACTGTCAGTTACAAAACAGTTTGAAGCGTGCAAGCGATTCAGACAGTGGTACCAGTACGCCATGAAGAAACACATATGTTGGTAGAGGCTGGAACCTTGTTCCATTATGTAAAAATGAAGAAACGCATATGCATCTGGCGTAAGGAATTGAACAAATTACAAACTTCTGTTCAACAAAGGCGATGATGATAGCATTTTTTGTGGCGTTCATGAGCGAGTAACTGCATTCCTTTTCCAATACGCTAAACAACATGTCATGGCAATTTCGCAGCTACTGCGGATTGACTAATGCAGGCACCTTAAGTCAGCGTACTACCAGGACCGACAGCATGTCGTCAGGGTGTGAGTGAAATCGTACCTCATGAGTGAAAGTCCGGACAGGGATGCCGAACGCCCTCGCCAATCCAAAGTCGGCGAGCTTCAAGATGTTGTTGCGGCGATCAAGCAGCAGGTTCTGCGGCTTGAGGTCGCGGTGGAGCACGCGGTGGGAGTGGCAGTAGGCGATGCCCCGCAGAATCTGGTAGAGGTAGGACTGCACGGCACGGCACAGCACAGCACAGCACAGGGAGCATATCCCGGCATTAAAATTTGCATTTCTTCATATCTCGCAATTACTATCATTCTTCATTGTCACAGCCTCGTCAACGGAACCACTGTGTCGAGCGATAGTAGGTGGTACGGCACCAGCAGTGGCGTACGGCGGCTGAATTCAAAGCAAAGGGAGAGGGAGGAGAGGAGGAGAGAGACTGACTTTGACTATGCGGTGGTTCTTGAAGTCGGCGGAGGAGTCCATGTGCTTCTTGAGGTCGAGGTCCAGGTACTCGAAGACGAGGTAGATGCACTTGTCGTTGTGCACGACGTCCTGCAGCCTGCACGGCAGCGCGAGCGCATCAGCAGCAGGTAGCACACTAACAAACCCTGGCATGGCATGCGCATAAGTGACAAGTTACAAGTAGTAAGTACCTGACGATGTTACGGTGCTGCATCTCCTTGAGGAGGGAGATCTCGCGGATGGCGGTGGAAGGGACGCCCTCGTCCTCCTGCTCGAGGCGGATCTTCTTGAGCGCGATCGTCTCGTTGGTGTGGCGGTCCTTGCCCTTGTACACCACCCCGTACGTGCCCTCCCCGATCTTCTCCGTCTTCTCGTACTGCGCCCACCATTTCCCGCCGCCCGCGTTACATTACATTACAGGGACACATCACAGACAGACATACAGAGCTCGCTCGCCGACGCGCGCGACTGCGGCCGGTCGAGAAGGAGAGAGGGGGAGGGGGGCGGCAGTAGCGGAGCGATCGGAGACGGCGGGCGCGCTCACCTGGTCCATGGCGGGGCGATCCGGCCGGATCGGGCGGGGAGGGACTGGCGGCGGCGGCGAGGGGAGGAGTGGTGGTGGAGGTGGGTGGGGGCTGGGACTTGGGGGTGGAGTGGAAGGCAGGGAGGGGTGCGTGCGTGTGGACTGGAGCTGAGGGAGTTGAACCCGGGGTGGCTTGGCGTCGTGGCGAATCGCCCGGCTTCACCAAGCAACGCAACGCAACTGGAAGTGGGTGGTGGCTGGACTGGATTCTGCTGCCTCTTCTGCTTGCCGCCTTGCGGTTGCGGGTGTCGTCGCTGTCAAAATAAAATTGAGGCTGAATCGAAATCAATCATGTCACATGCCTCGCGCGGGCGGGGCGTCACCCAAATGCCGTGCCGCCAAGCTATTTTCGCCACGGGGGACGGGACGCGGCCTCTGCAGGTCACGTCTCAGCTCAGCTCGGGGGTGCTGCCGGCTGGGCGTCGTGTCATGGACCGCGCGTGCGCGGCACGGGCATGGATTGCTCGTCTGTACATATATATTTTTTATCATTCGACGAGGTTATATATTTCCATTTTTTATATCTATTGCTACTTTATTAAAAGTTAATACTTTGATCGTATCAGCCATGTTTATCAGTCATGATATATTATTTTTCTCTCACAAGAAATATAGTGTCGGTTTTTTTATAAATCACGAAGCGATCAACGAATCAGTTAAGTGGTGTAATGCAAATTTATAAACCATGTAATCGATCGAGCGAACGTGTTAAAAGTTAATGTGATGAGGTGGCCATGAAGGAAATCAACAGTGCGTCGTGTTGGGGTGCTGAGGCGAGAAGAATGAAAATGTTGCTTTCTCGGCGATTGATTTTATTTATAACGTGCATAGAAACTTTAAAGAAACCGTGAACTACAACTAACTAAGCGCATCTTATTAATTCTTAATTAACTGGTAAGTTGCCTGTGGTGGAATGATCCGTCGACCCGAAGTAGACGTAGCAGCAGATACGAATAGCGCCGTAGCCCAGGCGATCGGCAACAGCCAATGCCACATTTTTTGAAGAGCCGTAGTCCACCGATCCACGAGTAAACTCTGGGCTGCCAGCTGCCATGCCAAGTCGACGAGTCCATCCCAGATGGGCAGATGGAGAGGAGTGTCTACGCGATACATGAACCAAAACGCGCAGCCCCCCAATGCCAGGCCCCACCCACTCCTAATTAGGCGCCCGCTTTCAGGTTTTTTTTTTTTGCGCTAAAAGCGCGGGAAGCCCGCCTAACCACGAAAACCGAGCGGGGAGCCAGCAGGCCCACTCCCTTTTATCCATCTCGAGCGGTGCATGCACGTGAGCTTTGAGTCCCTTTGAGTTGAATTTGTTTTAAACTATAAGTTTAGTTTACCAAATGTTAAATTGTACCCTTTCCGTTCTAAATTATAAAATATTTGACTTCTTTAGAAATATTATTTTTAATATGCATCCAAATTGTAGAACTTTTAACTTCTTTAGATTTAGATATATTATTTTTACTATGTATCCAAATTATAAAACATTTGACACCTTTAGATATACTAGTTGAATGCCCGGGTGTTGCCGTGGGATTTTAAAAGAACGAGGCACCTATATGCTAATATAGGATTATATGCCTTTCTCACGGGAAGCATTAACTGATGTCATCATATGTTTACACTACAGCACAATCATGCTCAGATGGGCTACTTTTTAGAAGCGAAATGGTTGTACATATGTGTGATGATCTTCAGATACAAGATAGCACTGCATGTTAAACGAACGCAATGAACAGCGCGGTCATGCTCAGATGGGTTACTTTGAGAAGCAACGCTGCTCCATGTGTGCGTGATGGTCTTGAGATACAAGGTACTAGATGTTAAACACAAAGCAATGGACACCGGAGAAACTGATATATCTCATTCCCTCTTCTCAGCATTAACAACGTGCCATCTGAAATCATCAATTTATCAGTGATCTGTTCCAAGAGGGGAAGCCTTCATCGTTGGGAGGATTCCGTTGGTGAGACCTCATCTTTTGAAAAGCCAGTAAATAATAAAATATTTGGTGCACTCTGGATCACTGCTGAAAGAATTATAGTGAGATTGTCCAAGGAATAGGAATTATGCAATGATCAGTAAAATTGTATCATGACATCCCAAAATAATATGGAGAAGATAGCAAAGAAGAGATCAAACACATTTATTACCTACAAGGCCTCTGATTATCGCGAACTTTTCACCAGCTGCTTCAACATCACCAAACAAATACCCTCTCTGATTGGAAAGGGCCACTCTTGTGCTTTGAGTTCGAGCTTGGCCAATCACGTCATCAATCATGTGATCAAACAAATATAGTAAATTAGTACCTTGAGCCAGAGTGCCAGACATAGAGTTTTGCAGTTTGGCAACCTATCCCTTTTTCACTCTTGATTTTAGAATTCATGAAAATGGTATAATGCTACTTCATTGGGTAGTATAGGATAATTGGGCTTTCGCAAGTTCCCCACATTAGATCAAGTTCAATTCAAGGATGTTCTAGTTCACACGAGATCATCGGCATCAGCCAAAGATGAACATTGAACGTATTAAACTAATTTCTCCAGAGCCCCGCTAAGCAATCTAATTATACCCAAACCACCAGGCAACCATAAATAAATAAAAAAAGCAAAATGTAAACCAGCGCAACATTGTCTATCTCAATTGTTATGATACTTCCATGAATGGAAGCCTTCTCCCTGAGCAAAGGCGCCTTTGGCGACATGCCGCCGGTGGTCTGATCAGAATTCCACATTCCAGTGTTCAGAGAGGCACGCACAAAACATACAGCAACAATGGCATGTACACTACAACAGTTGACGAGTTTCTGATAGGAAGCGAACCTTGTACTCGGTGATGTCATCGCGCACAGAGCTGAGAAGATCGACACTACAATTACAAGCGACACGATTGAATTATTAGCGCTAATGCAATAGCATATATATCAAGACAATAGATGTTCAGCTTGGTAAAAATCCCAACCGAAGTTCAGACTTAACACGAATTCAGAAGCTCAGAATCTACAAGTAATTGTATGGGGTTCATTAGAGTACATCTCTCTAGCTTTTAAAGTTCTGTAGTAAAAGTATAGATATTATGCATAACCTTGTCGATCACTGATGAAATCAACCTTTAACTTGGGATGTAAATTTCTTACTGAAAGATGATTATATTTTCTGACCAAGTGATCATGAAACAATCATTTTATTCAGCTTTAGTACTCTCAACAGAATTGACATTTAAAAAAAACATATCTGACACTTTAATTTGTCGCTTTGCACTAATCAAGAATGATTTTTGTAACACCCCTGATGTTACGAGCTTGTTTAGCACCGCAATTTAGCCCTAAATTTTTTTTCTGAAATGAGTTTCTCAGGTTTTTAATTTAAAACGTACCTAAGGCGATAAGCAAATCATGTGCGACTTAGTTTCGTGGCCTCAAATCAACGCTCATGTTAAATTACGTAGTGCGTAGAAATATTTAGGAGTGTCGATAACGATTCTAGCAAATAAATAGCAAATGGCTTATTTATGTGATTAAGCGTGAAAACAATTTTTATAAATAATTCGCTGTTCACATCCGCGTCGCGTTGTCGGACCACGTCGCCGTGTACGCGGGCTTGCTAGATATCGCCCACGGAGCTGTATCGCAGTCTGCCTCCATTGTCTCATCGCGTTATTGTCTTTGTCGTAGCGTCATTGTCTGCCTTCGCGTCCCGCCAAGTTGAGTCCTCTCGGTCTGCGTTGTGTTGCTGCTGTCTCTCCCTCTCTAGCTTCGTTTGTTGATCTAGCTAGCTCTGCTTAGCTCCGGACGTACGTGCATACATGCTTAGCTCTCTAATCGATCATCTTATGATCAGTTCATTTATTTGTTCATACATATATATATATATATATATATATATATATAAAATCAATTTTACCGTGTAATATATCCTTCCCGCCAACTTCCTCCTCTGCTGGCTGCTGTGCCGACAGTCCCTGCGGGTGTCATCTTTTCACTTGTCTTTTCATTTGCAGAGCTGTAATTTTAGCCCTTGTTTAGTTGAGAGAAAAGTTAGAATTTAGCTACTGTACCATTTTCGTTTTTATTTGACAATTAGTGTTTAATCATGGACTAATTAGACTCAAAACGTTTGTCTCGTAATTTCCTACCAAACTGTATAATTAGTTTTTTTTCATCTACGTTTAATGCTCCATGCATATATCGTAAGATTCGATATGATGGATCCTGTAGCACTTTTTTGAAACTTTTTTTTGACAACTAAACATGGGCTTACCATGTGTTCGCTTGCTCGTAAACGATCGTAAATTTCCAGCCAGGAACAGCGTTTTTCTCTCACACCAAACCAGCCAGCAGTAAATAATCCACGATACGATACGGCCTCCCGAACAGGCTGTTAGTATGTGTCCTGTAGCGCTGATTTTTACTTAGTAGTCAGTGTTCTGGCGTGTGTGTACGATGTGTCCCTGCTGCTTCCGGCTCCTTTTTTTCTACTGCCGTGGAGGAGGCGCCTCAACTCCGGTCTCAACTCAGGTCTGCCCGTTCGGTCTTGTCTCGCCTGCCTCTGCGGTGGGTCCTCGCTGGTCTGGACTGCGTCTGTGCCGAGCCAGCACCCAATTTGACTGCGCCCACGTCGCCTTCAACATCCCACGCCCTGCCCTCGTGCACCTGTCTGCCTCTGTCCCCTAGCCTCTTCTTTTTCTTTACCGTAGCACCATCGAACCTTCAGGCAGCAGCAGCGCCCCTTGTCCCGCAGCACCCCGCCGATGTTGGTCTGTTCCTGCGAGCGAGCGCGCCCGTGTTCCTTGGTCCGCGCTGCTGCCGCACCCCGCCAGGGCCGCCTCGCTGTCATCCGCGCCGGGGAAGCGCTCCTGCCTGGCTACACCATCGATGCCGGCCGTCCCCGCGCGCGCTGCTCTGCCACCCGGCCAGCGCCATTGCATGCCGACGCAGCCGTCCGCGTCGCTCCCACGCGCCGCTC